GACGGTCATATAATCCGATATAAATATAAACAGATAGCGACCACGTGCAATTGGGTTTTTCTAGGTCCATTTGATTTCATATTGTAGGTTAAAAGTATGTTTATCATCGTTTTTACCTGTATCAGGTATACGGATCGAATCAGTCAACAAAATGGTTCATCTTTGTTTCACTTTCAATGTTGACATTCTTTTCCTTTTAATTGCTGAAAACATGCGTAACCCATCTCCAGCTAAGGGTTTAAATTGAAGGTCACATGAATACGGATTCGTGCAATGAGGTCGAATTATTCACTTGCAAGTGAATTATTCTTCAGCGATGTTTCTTAGCTTATTTTGACAAAGTTGAACCAAATTGGCTGCTAAAGCGAATTAGTATTTTACTATATCACTTTCATTAATGATTGAACAAAAGAAAATCATATTTTATTCTTTTTTATATCTCGTAGTTATTGCCCCTTTAACATAAGTAACATAAACTCTGTAGAGCTCTTAAACCGACTTGTTATTTAAAAACAAATAAAAGAACAGAGTTCCAATGTCCCCGCGTTGCACATATTTTATTTATCCAAGGTACAAGGGCAATTACTAAAAAAGCATTAATATCTTAGAGAGAGCAAATGCAATGTGATTTCCATTATAATTAATATTTCCAAGGGGCATAACTCGTTAAAAATATTTGAACAACACTTACTTTCGAAAGTGTCAAAGACATTGCTGATATAAACCTATGATATAAGTTCACAAAGTTCTGGTAGTAATTGTACAAATGAGAGCGCTGACAATGCAATTTTCCATATAATTAATATTTCCAAGGGGCATAACTCTTTTAAAAATAATTGATCCGCACTGATTTTTAAACTCGTCAGAGACATTGATGATATAAACCTATAATATAAATTTCATACAAATCTGGCAAGAATTGTACACATGAGAGCGCTAACAATGCAATTTTCCATATAATTAATGTTTCCAAGGGACATAACTCTTTTGAAAATAATTGATCGGCACTGATTTTCGAACTCGTCAAAGACATTGCTGATATAAAGCTATGATACAAGTTTCATAAAAATCTGACAAGAATTGTACAAATGAGAGCGCTAAAGATCATTAGCACACAAGACATAGTTTTTCACGTCAATATAGATAAAACGCATACACAACAAAAATATGTAAGCAACAAACATGAAGAACACCATGTGGAAAAAATAAATGTTTGAACTGTTTGGACTGTGATCAACTGTCCAAAAGTTTGAGACTCAGTGCGTGGTTAGATATCCACGTACATAACTGCTTCAAAAAGAAAGATTTTTATACATAACTTGTAGTTCCTGGTCGTGGTATGCCCTGTGAGTTTATCTTTAAAATTAATAATATTGTGCAAGAATTCAGGACTTAATTTTGTCACAATTTTGTAGGTTTCAAATGCCATGGTTCTCATCCGACTGATTTTGAGTGATGGAAGTTTAGATTGTTCAAGTTATAGTTCGTTTGTGTTCTTATAGTCAACTGTAGATGAATCTCAGGGCTCGTTCATTACGTTTTTCAATTTTGTCGGTGTTGTGCTTGCTACAAAAGAGCCATGTTAGTAGACCGTCTAAAAACGAATTTAAGTTAAAGGAAGCACACTCGCAAGTCTGTTACCCTTTTCAAGAAGTTTTTTTTTATGAAATGGCGCCATCTAGGCATTACTGTAATTAAGCGAGTCTGGAAAAACTGACGTAGACAATGTCAAATTTACAAAGATCAGTTATGAGGCCCCTCATGGGGGTGTCCAAGTAATCACATAATCATAATTTTTTTGCTAATATAATCACATAATCATTAATTATTTTTTAAACAAGATAATCAAATAATCAAAAATACAGTCCTAGATTATCAAATAATCAACTACTAGTAATCATGAAATATTTGGTCTCGTAATCAAATAGTCACTATAAAACGGCCAAGTAATCACATAATCAAAAACCCCATGCGGAGACTGTTATTGGTATTGTAACTACAGTTGTAGCATAAACTTAATTCTTGCTCATCGACGCAATTTTTAATTTTTGAGTAAAAAACCGCTGGCTATACAAGCCCTATTCGGGTAACTGTACATTTGTTTCTCGGTCTTGTTTTATATAATGATGCAGACGCTATTTTACAAACTTTCAACTGATCTGTGTACAAATCGGTGTCGAGTTGAGGCATGGAAGTTAATGAATTGTCGAGCACAAAAAGGGATACAGAAACATTACTATACAAATCCTTGATACGAGGGATAAAAATTACATGTATTTCACTTAAGACTAGTTCAGAAATACCAAGGAATTTTATGATAGGTAGGACATAGTCCCAGTCAGTATACTATTTATTCCCAGATAATAGCAAAGTTGCACAATCAAAAATTGTGCCTTTGGTGCATATTTAAATAATATTTATGATTATCATTAGAGGAGACATGTATTCGAATATTTCATAAAAATTTAAATAGGCCCGAGAACAGTTATTTCGTAGTGCATTTCTTTTACATAAAAAACGCAAATTAAAAAAAATCGCAACTGCTCTATCCACAAATTATATCAAAATTATAGAAAAGTCTATCGGCTCTAACTCAAAATATGAATAATTTTATGTTAAGGGGGTCTGTAATTCAGTTTGACAGCTTCAGACATACTAATTTTTTACCTTTACAAACTGGACCAAATCACTACTTTACCTAAAAATTCATGCCAAAATTTTTTTTACATGTAATTTCTTCCCCGTAACTGGGCCTCGGAAACGGAACAGGCAGGGATCTGGGGGCCGCCGACTGAGGCCTCCGTTGTAATAGGTCCTGGAGGCGAAGCCCCCGGCCCGAAAATTGTAATATAGGGTTCGAAATATATCTTGTTACATTCCTTTTTTGTATCATATTTATCGTTTTTGTTTCATATTTACCGTATGAAGAACTGAATTAGGCTATCAGAGCCGGCTAACCGATACTTACCTTGAATTTTGTACCATCAAAAATGTATCCATTTACTGTACAAGACCTTGGCAGACTGACAATTCGATTCCTTGATACTAAGAATTTTCAGAGTATTATTGGAGTACCTCGGGCTTCCGAAAAAAGAAAATCTAAAGTTGCAAGTCGGTCTATTAGTTTTTAAGTAAAACATATCTGTATAGGGAAGATAATTTAACAAATTAATATGTTATTTAGATATCTTTTGAGAATCTTTTAATTTCATTGGGGACCTATATTTTTTATATTGTTTACGTAAACAATATTCGATGTTTACGCTTAGATGAACAGCGAGACTGACCAATTATTATATTTCTCATTTCATGGACATCCAACAGATTCGTTTTTTTTTCAAAGAACTTGCACAGAAAGACGGACAGAGTTAAGTTGACACTTTGGTATTCTCGATCTTTTTTTATTCTTTGATGATTGTTCAAGAGACTTATTCGCGGGAAATAAATAATTGCAGAACCAAATGCCGGTTTACTGGCGATGGTAACCAGGCAGAGTTCGACACCTAACGTAGTTGAAATAAAACTACAGAAGCTGCACGTCAACATTACCGGTAATTAATACTGGAAGTATGCATTCCTAAATTCTTGATATGATATGCAAATGCAAGGATGTTTTCTACCCCTGCATGCCTAGCTTTCTACATTTTCTTATTTTTTTTTTTGCCAGAAACTTAGACGAGGCAAATGCGACCCTGCCTTCTTACTATTTTATGCATAAAATATAAAGAAATAAATTTGGAAGGTGTATGAAAAAAATTGCAAGTTATATACTGACATAATACTGTCCACACTAGGGACTCTATTAGTAGACAACGTAAATCAAAGGATGAAAACTGTGTTGCGACCTTTTACTTGCCACCTCCAATAAAGGGCATTGCAGTTGTCAGTTACAGCAACAAGAAAATGTGTTTGGACCATCATGAATTGTAAGTTGGGACATCCAACTGTCAACAAAGTTCAGCTTATGTCAGTTTGCAAAAGTATGGAGAGCCAGTTGGACCAAAAATGAATGGCTCATGAAATCACGACTTAAGTAGAGATTGTGGGTGAATGGGTTAATTTTTATAAGGAAACAAAATCATATGCCAGTATTTCATCTCAAAATTTTTGAATCTCCCTCTTTAATGAAGGATATTTTGTGCGAGTATCAATCTGAAGAGTCGAAGCCTATTTCAACAATTTTAAGTGCTTGTTCTGATTACACATGGTTCAAGATTAGGGAAAGACTGAGCCCTCACATGTTAAATCCTGTTACATTCTGCGTGCGTGTCCCAAGCCAGGAAAATGTTATGAAGTGGTGGTCATTTGTTGCCGTTAGCTTTGCTCTTTTTTCATTGCTGTAGTATGAATCAGGAACCTTGGGGTTCTCTTTTGAATTGAGGCAAATTTATTTAGACAGTTTGGGTCTTTTATAGTGTACTAAAGGATATAAATTTATGCTTTGCTCACTGTTAAAGGCAGAAGCTGTAACTATCCTTTTGGTCTATGAATAGGTGATTCATAGACCTTATCGCTTATTCTAAATCTGCAACACTTAACTAAGAATTTGCAACACTTTAACTATTGATGTCATACAACAATCAAGTTTGCGTCAAGGCATTTTCATAAAACGTTTATAGCATTGTGTATAAGTTTCATAACATTTGGTTGAGGCAAACTTCAGTAAGAGAACAGAAACGAAAATTCAGCAAATTTTCCATTTGTAAAGGGGCATAACTCTAGAACGGTACAATTGACGCCACCAAAATTCATGCTTGATCTGTGTTTTGTGGTTATAAGCATTGTGTACAAGTTTCATAACATTTGGTTGTGGCAAACTAAAGTTAGTGAACAGAAACCAATTTCGGGACGTACGGACGTAGACAGACAAGGGTAAATCTAAATGCACCCTCAGCTACAGCGGGGACATGAAAATTGGAAAAATTGACCTATTAGATATAAATCTATTTCAAGTGACTATGAACATGTGCAGATTGATCAGCTGAAAGACAAACACATCATTGAAAGTTTTTTTTTTATTTATTGTCCACCATATTATACAGATTGTAACACTGGTGGTTCGTATCCTTCAGGTCGCTCCACTGTTTCTCCAGATTCTGTAACAACTGTCTTTGAAGCACTACCCTCTCCATGAAGTTCCATCAGTTTTCCCACTAAAAAATCAATTGCAATTCAAGAATTCTTTAAAAATGTTATATATAAATAGATCTGTGCAAACCATATTTTAACTTAGTATTATTACTCTTGGCCTAATATTCATAAACATTTGTATATACTTTAATTGCACTATTAAATCATGTTCAGTCAATCCTGGGTAAACCAGACCCTGAATAAACTGGTTTCCTGTCCATTCCGGCCAAAAATTGAAGTCCCATTTTTTCCATTTAAAGTCTTTGTTAAAATACCCTCTGTAAACCGGACCCTGTGGATTCCGAATTCCAGCCTAATTTTGCAGTCCTAATACTCTTAATTACATTAATCATTACCTGTCAAAACCAGTTTGTTTAATTTATTCAACACGAAACAGTATGGATCGATATGCAATCAAAACCTAATTGTTTATATAAGATGGTTTTTTAGGATAATCAATTAGCAAGGTGTTAAACCATGAACTTACTGTAGTGAGCTGTTTTAATTGAAACACTATTAAGTTTTAATGAAAATAAACTAAATGAAACACTGAATATATCTCGGAAAGAATTATGTTGAAACATTGATAAATTTTTTCTGATCGCGGAGTAAGAAATTTACATCGCGTTTTCAAAATGCTGGGTTCCCTGTTGTGAACCCTGAAACCGATGACCCTGATATATAATGAAGAAGACCCAGATGACAACATTGCATTGTCCAGTTTATAGGTATCGTACATTGTTTTGAACATGATGAAATTTCATTTGATAAAATTATTGCTTTTAAATGATTTTACCAACATAGGAAATGAACAATGGAAGTAAAAAGAAAATTTCGTTGAACAATTTAAACAACGCGAGTATTCTGATGCAAATGAAAACAAAGAATTCAAAGTGAAATGGACAAGCCGGGAAACTGATGCTACCAAGGCGATTTGACATACGAGGACATGTAAAAAAAAATTCAAAATATTTTTGTTTCTGGATTCGAGGGACAACAACTTTTGAAATTTCTAAAGCCAGTGAAATGGTGAAAAGGCAGGTAACACTTGTAATGTTCATGTCACAATATTTTCATACCTCTATAAAGGTTAATGACTCACTGCCAAAATTTGAACAAAGTTCGATTGTTTTGGTTCTTATAATTGTGTATGAGTTTCATTCCGAGTGAAGGAATGAACAAAATTTCTAAGTTATAACGGGGCATAACTCTAGAACATTGACACACTGCCCAAATTTCGAACTCTTGAGTTTTGGTTCACAGCATTGTGTATGAGTTTCATCAAATTTGCATGAGGCGGAAATGAAAATGGGATGGATAGAAGGACGGAATGTCCAAGGTAACACTTAAGGCCCCCTTTGCCTAGCAGCCGGGGCATACAAATTATGTATCATTATCTTACTGAATAGGCTATGTCTTTTACAAAAATTGTTGTTGTGATTGAAATATTTCATATCCCTAAATATATCCATTAAATTTGGTTTTTGCTGGGATATATCTTGTGGAGTCCAACATACATGATAATTTCCACATTTCAAAAGAGCTTTCTAGACAACATTTTCAAAATCATTCAATGATGAAAATAATAACACAAAATCTTTATTCATAAAAAATGATCTATTAGCAGCCCATCAAATTGCAAAAGGTGGGTAAAGCACAGATATTGCAATTCCCAAAAATATGGAAACCAAAAAGAATTCTGAATTTCAAAATAGTTTGCTGTCTGTAGGCATTCGTTTTGGCACTTTGGAAAAAAAATCATTTTATCATAGGCAATTTTACCTTAACTTGATACAATATCAAATGTCAACTGAAAGAAAAAGTTTTGAGTTGATCAAGAGATATAATAAAAAAAATCCCTTCATGCATAAAAACGATAGAATCCCAATTTAATCGAAATTCGCATTACAACATTTACAATTTGTATCATTACAATTGTAATTTATCTATAGTAATTGAAATGAAACGGTTATAAAATTAAATATTTTAGCATGCCAGTGATCACAAGTATCTTACAAAAATAACTGTTTGCAATACATGTCTACAGTAAAACATAATTTATAAACTTACAATCAAATTTGGGTTTCTTCAGTACTTTAACTTTTCTGATAAATACATCATGAAGTGGATAGATTCCTTGACAGGCCTTCTCTATGTCCTTTCCAATACTGTCTGGGATCCTGTAAAAGAAATGAAAATCTATGTTCAAGTTTTTAGACAACAAGCATTCAGAGAGTATTGCATGGCAATACATAGTCCCCTACCAATTTAAAATTCATTATACTGGAACAAAATGCGAACTTGATCTTAAACTTTTCATGGTGTAAACTTCAAAGTCCAAATAAAAATATATGTGTGGTTCTAGTTACATCCTCAAAAAAGATAGGGTTGGTAGGTCGGCATATTTTTTTTCTCGATTTTTGGATTGTCAAAATCCGGAAAAAATTATGTGTGCACCAGGTCAGATTCCAGTATTATGCCCCTACCGGAAGTGTGCCATTTTCTATACATTTGGTTGTAGAATAAACAGATATGTTACGTTTTTAGTTAATTTTGTTGCGTTCGTACTTCTCAAAGTTGGTTTCAGTTCTGTAACTTTAGTTTGCCTCAACAAAATGTTATGAAACTTAAACAAAATGCTTATTACCACAATTCTACGTACGTACATACCCACGGACGGACAAGGGTAATACTTAATACCCCTTCTGCTACGGGGGGGGGGGATAAAAAAAATGTTGAAAACTTGCAGATTTTGTCGGTAGGGGACTAATTATACATATATAACACTGACTAAATATGAGTGGAGACGGCAAATTGGCCAATTAATTCCATTCATAAAAGGGCGTAACTTAAGAATGGTGAAAGTGACGGCACATAAATTCAAACTTGATCCGTGTCTGATGAAAATAAGCATTGTGTTTTACTTTCATTACAATTGGTTGAGGCAAAGTACAGTAAGTGTGGAAAAAAGCAAATTCTTAAATTTTTCCTAATATAAAGTGACATAACTCAAGAATGGTGAAAGCGACAGCACACAAATTTGAACTTGATCTGTGCTTGGTGGCAATAAGCATTGTCTGTAAGTTTCAGAACATTCAATTGTGGCAAAGTAAAGTACGAGACAGAGACGTCAAATTTGCCAATTTTTCTATTTATAAAGGGACATAACTCAAGAACAGTGAAAGTGACACTACCAAAATTCTTACTTGATCTGTGCAAGAAGGTGAACTGTGGTTTATTTTTATCAATAGTACTGCTTAAGTCGACGCTAGGGGCCGTCTTGACCTTGTTGTAGGGTATGAATGATTCGTTCATTGTTGAAGACCCTACATCAACTGTCAAGATGAAGAACAGGAATAAAAGCCATGTTCATTGATAATTTTCTACGTTTTCTATGTATTGTGTGCGATTTTGTCCCATGTACATTTACTCCATATCCTTTCATTTTCTATTGGCGCTAATAAGCATTGTGTATAACAGTGATATTGTTGTCTTTTTTTCAAAACTTATTTGCTCAACGTTAACTTAACTGTCTTTTTTGCACAGTTTTATCACGTATATTTTGATGGTCAGACATTTTAAACCTGAAAGGAACTTTTTGGGGAGGGGAAAGAGACGGATAATGCATTGAAAACCATGTGTTACAAACACGTGATGATTCTGATCAGAATCCTGGATCTCAAAAGCGCTTTCATAATATCAAAATAATAACATGAATACAAAATTTACATTCATTAATACCAATGCCATTACTTTTGGGAATAAAATGCTCCGCTGGGCACAGCTTGATACGACCGCAAATGTCGAACCCTGAACAGTTGGGGAAAGTATGGACACAACATTCAAGCTTGATACAGCACTGAATTTGGATTGTGATTAAATATTTGACAGCATAGGTTTCTGACACAGAATGAATGTGGTCTAAGAACTTAAATTTTTTTAATTTACCTATTCAAACCATATCATTATTATTTGCTTTTATATATAAATCAGAAATAACCAATTTAAAATGGAAAATTTTAAAGAAAAAAAAATCCCTCTCCCAAATTTTTTGAACCCCCTTATGATTCATCACCCCCAAACTCAATCCCAGCCTTCCCTTTGTGGTATGGTACCTTGCAGACCAATTTCAGAGCGATCCATACACTTGAACACAAGTTATTGTCTGGAAACTAGAAAAATGCTTCTTTTTGGCCCCTTTTTCCTAAACGTTTTGGGCAATTACCCCCAAACTCAATTCCAGCTTTCCCTTTGTGATATGGAACCTTGTAGTACAATTTCAGAAAGATCCATACACTTACGCACAAGTTATTGTCATGAAACTAGAAAAATGCTTGTTTTTCCCCCCTTTTTTGGCCCCTAATTCCTAAAATTTTGAGGCAATTACCCCCAAAATCAATCCCAGCATTCCCTTTGTGATATGGAACCTTGTGGTACAATGTCAGAGAGATCCATACACTAACACACAAGTTATGTCTGGAAGTTACAAAAATGCTTATTTTTGGCCCCTTTTTCCTTAACTGTTGGTACCATAACCACCAAAATCAATCCCAACCTTCCTTTTGTGGTATTGAACCTTATGGTAAAATTTCATAGAGATCCATTCACTCAAACTAAAGTTAGAGTGCGAAAACAAATGTGTTTTCGGACGACGATGATGCCAAAGTCATACCAATATACAACCGCAAAATTATAACTAGAGGCTCTAAAGAGCCTGTGTCACTCACCTTGGTCTATGTGCATATTAAACAAAGGACACAGATGGATTAATGACAAAATTGTGTTTTGGTGATGGTGATGTGTTTGTAGATCTTACTTTACTGAACATTCTTGCTGCTTACAATTATCTCTATCTATAATGAACTTGGCCCAGTAGTTACAGTGGAAAATATTTTGTAAAAATTTACAAAAATTTACAAAATTTATGAAAATTGTAAAAAATTGACTATAAAGGGCAATAACTCCTTAAGGGGTCAATTGATAATTTTGGTAATGTTGACTTATTTGTAGATCTTACTTTGCTGTTTACAGTTTACCTCTATCTATATGATATTCAATTCAAGATAATAACCAAAAGCTGCAAAATTTTATTAAAATTACCAATTCAGGGGCAGCAACCCAACGTGTTGCCTGATTGGTCTGAAAATTTCAGGCCATAGATCTTGACCTAATGAACAATTTTATCCTTGTCAGATTTGCTCTAAAGGCTTTGGTTTCAGAGATATGAGCCAAAAACTGCCTTTTTCCCTATGTACTATTTTTTAGCCATGTCTGCCATCTTGTTTCGTGGGCGGGGTCATCGGACACATTTTTTAAACTAGATACCCTAATGATGATTGTGGACAAGTTTGGTTAAATTTGTCTTAATAATTTCAGAGGAGAAGATTTTTGTAAAAGATTACAAAAATTTACGAAAAATGGTTAAAAATTGACTATACAGGGCAATAACTCCTTAAGGGGGTCAACTGACCATTTTGGTAAAGTTGACTTATTTGTAGATCTTACTTTGCTGAACATTATTGCCGTTTACAGTTTATCTCTATCTATAATAATATTCAAGATAATAACCAAAAACAGCAAAATTTCCTTAAAATTACCAATTCAGGGGCAGCATCTGAAAATTTCAGGGCAGATAGATCTTGACCTGATAAACAATTTTACCCCCTGTCAGATTTGCTCTAAATGCTTTGGTTTCAGAGATATAAGCCAAAATCTACATTTTACCCCAATGTTCTATTTTTAGCCATGGCGGCCATCTTGGTTGGTTGGCCGGGTCACCGGACACATTTTTTAAACAAGATACCCCAATGATGATTGTGGCCAAGTTTGGTTTAATTTGGCCAAGTAGTTTCAGAGGAGGAGATTTTTGTAAAAGTTAACGACGATGGATGACGACGGACGCCAAGTGATGAGAAAAGCTCACTTGGCCCTTTGGGCTAGGTGAGCTAAAAATGTAAAACTTATTGGGAGGAATTTTAAGCCATTTTTTTCAGTAATTGGGAATTTTCTCTAGGGGAAAAAGCCGAATTTCAGATGTAATTTGAGGCAAACAATATCACTGTATAAGTTTCATAACATTTGGTCAAGGAAAACTTGCCATGGCAGGGGCATAAAAAAAGATTCAAATATATATGTAGCTAAATGGTGTATTAATGATTTAGTTTTGACTTACAATTTGTTGACAACCTCTTTCATATCATTGGTTGACACCTCCTTGGTGATAATATCAACCATCTTCTTTCTGATGGTTTTAACCTAAAAGTAAATGCATCACCATGATCACTATTCTCATGAAAACTTTCATTGTTAATAATTGTTTTAACCTAAAATCAAATGCATCACTAGTCTCATCAAAACTTCCATTGTTAATATAACTATCACTGAATCCTACTTATCACTTGATATTTAGTTGTCAAAAGTAAGAAAAAAGGTTGCAGAAGTTGAACATGAACTGCTAACCCCCAGATTACCAGTTTCCAACCCCTGTTTTTGTGGGGTGTTTGTATATCAATTGTAAATATTTGTATTTAGTATTTTGTGGTCTGTTGTTTGCCCCTTGAATAATGATTTTTATTACCTCCTCGGTATTTTTACTTTTTTTTTTGTGAATTTAAAAAAAAAAAATTATTTTAATGTACCTGTGCTGTCAAGACCAGAAATTTACAATAAATGCCCCTGCTTGCATATAATGTTACAAAGGGACGCAACTCGAGTTAAGAATGATAAAAGTGGTGCTACCCAAATTTGTACTTGATCTGAGTTTTGTGGTAATAAGCATTGTGTATGAGTTTCATAACATTTGGTTGAGGCAAACTTCAGTAAGAGAACGGAAATGAAAATTCAGCAATTTTTTCATTTGTAAAGGGGCATATCTCTAGAACGGTATAAGTGACACCACCGAAATTCAAACTTGATCTGTGTTTTGTGGTAATAATCATTGTGTATAAGTTTCATAACATTTGGTTGAGGCAAACTAAAGTTAGAAAACGGAAACCAATTTTGAACGTACGTACGTACAGACAGACAAGGGTAAAACTTAATGCCTCCTCTGCTACGGCGGAGGCATAAAAAGATCAAATTGACGATAGACTTGTTGATGATCTTTATGAATTATACTGTTTCTTGTATTTTATAGAATAAACATAAATTCCTGTTGATGTTGATAATGTGACTCATTTTTCAAACATGCCTATTTTGAATTCTAGTTACATGTACAAACCTGTGTATGCTGAGCATAACATGTTTTCTTATTCTGCATTGCCTTCTTTTTAGTAAAGCCTATACAGAACATACGGAGGAGATATCCATCAGTTGTCCTAACATCAACATTAGCCTCAATCAGTGTCTGCCATTTCTTCACCATAGAGCAGAGCTTGTCTCTTGTCAGATCCATTCCGTGGAAGTTTGTTAGGACATTACGTCCCTGAACATCCTCGGCCATTAGTTTGAACTTTCTGAAGGACACTTCATCGTTCTGGAGGTCAGCTAGAGAAATCTCAAAGACACGTCCTTTCAAACCATCAGAAGCAATTTCTGAAAAATAAAAGAAGTACATCAAATATTGATAGTTGCATTTTCATTTCAGCATGTTCAGATAATTAAATGGATTAACATGCTGTCATGAAAGATTGGTAACAATAGTTAATCTAAATCTTTCCTAGCTGAAATTTTCACAAGACCTTACATTCAACGCCAGTACTTAAAATATGTTTTTTTTGTCTCAAAAATTTGAAATAATATCCCTTTATTTACATATGTACTATATTGCCAATAATGGACCAACTTTGACAGTAATATTCTTCACTGTCATAGATATTGAAGTGCATTGCAGTGTTCAGATTATATGTACAGTACATGTACATGTAACATTAGAACCTTTCCAGCAAAATTATTGGAAAAGTTTCACAGCTCAAGTTTTTATTGATAAAACAGTATTTTTTAAACAGTTCAATAATTAAAGTGCCAATAAAAGCTTCAAGGTAGGCATAAATTAATTTAAATTAAATAACTAAGATTTATTTTCTTTTATGATGTAAAAGATTTTCCGATAGAAAGTAGTTTGAGAATAATATTCTAATGTACAGTTTCCTGTGACTGTTCATCTTGTAAATATGTGTGAACTTACTTGTTCCTTGTGTTCTAGTTACTAGTGTTTTGCCAATCTGTCTGACTACAAACATGCAAGGGGCCTTGACATCATACCAGTCTTTTTTTGTAAAAGGGTCAACTCTGAAAAAAAATTGAAATATCATTCAACTAATGACCTGATCAGTACAAAAATAATTATTTGCAAGTAGTGATTTAAATGTCAAACACACAAGACATGAGATAATTTACCCATTTACAATGTATACCCTCGTGTTAAGACTCTGCGAAAACCGTTGGACCTGTTGGTCCAGACAGCCAAAATTTCATCAGATTCACCTATTTCACGTTTTTAAGTCAATAATATAAATTGAATGTTCCCGAATTTGGGTCCATCAAATTTAACAGAGTATGGTATTGTATACTCTCAAAAAGTGAATGATCTTGGGATATCAGGGAAACCAATTTAAAAACGAAGTAGGTCATTGCACATCTCAAATGGAGCTTGTTTTATTACTTTAGAATATTTCTGAAAATATTTTGCACCAACAAACACACAAAAGGTAAGAATTTGTATATATGTAAAAATTTCTAGCTGTCAATGAAGATTTCATGGCAAAATTCTCTCTCAAAGTCCACAGCAAAAAATTTAAATAGCCTTTTAAGACACAATTATTTGGACTAGCGCTACTTGACAAGCTTCAATTTATTTACCAAAAATTCTGTGGTCTGATTGGTAGGCAGTTTGTACCAAATTCTTTTGGTTTCTGTCTGACATTCGGTCAGACAATGTTGTAGGTTTTGATTGACCGAACAGATTTTTGTCTGTCCGAAAAAAAAAATCAATTAATTAAGCTTATTGTGTTCTTTTTGTTTGTACTGTATTGTACGTTTTATGATGATATTCATGGTAAAAATTGCATTTCAGGAAAGCAGTTAATAAACTTCTTTTGTCAAGTCACGATACTTTTCAAGGGCTTACCGGGGAAAGCCCCTTGAACATTCTTCAGAGTAAACCTTCTACCTGTAAGTTTTCATCTCCATCAATCTGTGCGCATGCATATCGAAATACAATATTGAGTCACAGAAGCGAGACAAGGAAAACATAGGACGTATGGACCAGAATTGACATACAATTTAATGGACCTGCATCCATTTTATCGATCAGGACCGTCAGACTGACTGCATTTGGCAGACTGATTAGGGTTAGTTGTAGGCCATGGGACAGACCATCCAGGATTCAGCCTCTTCTGGTGCACAACTTGTGGCAGATGGCAACTTTTATATCTGAAGAGAATTCCTTCCAATCTAAGGTGTATACATGTATAGGTATTCAGATTATACTTGTCGAATACTTTAATTCTAATTGAAAACGACCCCTTTGATAGATCAAGTCGGAAGCAAGGCAACTCGCCCCACTTATGAAAAAGGGTTAAATGCCGTTAAATTTATTCCTGCCAACTCACCCCACGTATGAAAAAGGGTAAAATCCCGATGATTAAATGTTGCCAACTCACCCCACTTATGAAAAAAGAGTTAAATCCCTTTATTCAATGGAATTACACTCCATTTCATAAGAGGGGTTGGTAGTCCTTAATATACAGGGGTTCAAATTTACTTAAGGCAATGGAAGGTCCAGGACCTTTGACCAAAAGTACTTAAAGGTTCTCCTTTATTTTTTGAAATTCCAATTTATATTGAAAACTCAATTTATAAAAAATCGAAAATGCTTACCATTCCAAACCAATCACCATATCTTACTACACCAATTAACCTCATTTTTTTTCTGAATTTCTTTAATAAATTCAGTCAGAAAAAGGCTGCCCCTTTTCCCAAACACTATACACTGTGTTAAATAACACTCTGTACCTTTTAAATTGTTTCAGTTTCAATTGCTGCTTCAGAACACACTGGCCTAACTTTGTGTCAGATAACAGTTTCGTTTTCAAACTTGGGGTCAGTTTCTTTTTACCACATATTTTGGCAAGATATATAGATGCTGGGAGGAAATTTTTCATCACGATTTTTTATGGGACACTTTCCCTTTCACTGTGTGTGTGGGAAAAATCTATGTTCTCTTTTTTCCTGTCATATATTTGTTCTTTAGTCAGATCCTGTCTTTGGGCTGCAAAAAGCCCTTATCAATCACACCTGCTGTATCACCCGTTTCATCAGGGTTTCTTTTGGGAGAGGTCACCCCAAAACCAAACAGATACATACCGTTTACTAGTTACAAAAATGTATGTTCTAATATTATATTCTCCAGTTTCCCGGTATCTTGTACGACAACCTGTCACGTGACTACACATCAAATTCATTGTGAAGAATTTAAGCAATCACACGAGTTTCCTTTCAGTATAGTTGCGTATTTTAAGATTATTTTTATATTTTTGTTCAAAATGCTTTTGTAATTTTTTTAACCTGCAAAAACACAAAAGTCTGTCGGGTGCAACTAACTACTGGTGGAAAGGTCCGAACTCATAAATGGAAGGTCACTGACCTCGCACCACCGCTAATTTAAACCCCTGAATGCAGTTATATTTTATTCTTTTTTCCATAAGTGTGGCGAGTAGGCAGACCTTTATTCATTGGGATTTAACTCCTTTTCTTAAATGGGGCGAGTTGGTATGTAGTCCTTAATGCAGAACAGTATAATACTTTTATCAAAAGTAGGGGGGGGGGGGGGAGTTAGCAGACTTTTATTCACAGAGATTTTACTCTTTTACATACTGAGTAGAGTGAGTTGGTAGGACTAAATTCATCTGTATTTTACTCTTTTTTCATAAGTGGAGCAAGTTAGCAGACCTTTATTCGTCGGGATTTTACTCGTTTTCATAAGTGGGTGAGTTGGCAGGACTAAACTCAACGGGATTTTACCCTTTTTCATAAGTGGGGAGAGTTGGTAGAAAGTGAGTCGAGTTGGTGAATGAGTGGGGCGATTTGTCATAGATTCATCAAGTCACTATCCAAAAGAGAAACTGGTGATGCACCCTACTTTTTACGATTTATTCTCATTTTTAAAATGAGCTAGTTCTTTTTACCACAATACATTAGTGCTCAGTTGCTTGTAAATGCATGTATTATCTCTCTTTCGATAATGGTTTCATGATAATGTGAGCAAGTCTTGTGTGTTTTAGCAGGGTTCAACAACTTTGGGCATGATGAACATACTAATCGAAAAAAAATCTGATTTACATCGCATCATCAGTGCACATGATATCCTTATTCTTGTTCTTAACACATTCATTTATGCACAATTGGTACTTTAAATACGCACACTTTCTTTTTTCCACCCTTCTTGCCACCTTTAGTAAGCCTCTTATTCTTTCCAACTGCCATTTCGGCTATATTTGAGGCAAAAAAGGAAGTTGCATGTCGTTTAGTAAGAATTATGGGAAATCAACAAATTGATCACTTTTGCGTTTGAAGATAACGGTAAAATTATGTTTACTTGCAAGCGCTTGATTGACAATTTGCAATTTCCGATGTCAACACCGAGAGACAGACGAGAGCTAATCAGGGCAAAATTACCCCCTTATGAGCATCCCCCACCATGGATTCCTCCCCACGAGGTTGTTTAAATGTTCACATACTACACTGTTCTACCATTGTCTTGTATGAATATTCTGCTTTTCAAAGACACACTCTGCTTTCAGACTCCGAGGCTTTGATGTCGAACCGGCCCCCAAGTCGTTTCGGCCGACATTAAGGTGTCAGACCACCAATAATTTAAATATCCCTATCTGTTCAACCAAATTTTGCAATTTTCACAGCTTTCTAAATATTTTACCTTAAGTTTAACTTCATAGAAACCAGGTATATCCTGAATTGTACATGTATCAGCTTTCTGCATGCCAATTTTCAACATACATGTGTACATTTAAAGCCTTCTAAGAAAAAAACTGACCTTCAAAAAGAGGTACTCCAAAAATAACCCCTGGTTTTCTGGAAATCTTAAATAAGTATACTATGGAGCGCATTAATCCTCAATTTTTAATGCAAACTCATAGATATGTAAATTTTGGCTCAAAATGGTCTAAATATATTTCTCTTTCACCAAAAGTTTCATTTCTGCAAATTTGTTGGTTAGTTTAAGTAAACAAGGACATCAAAAGCACTATTTTGTGTTAGAGTAGGGCTACTTTTACATACGTTCTAAATTAGAGGGAGTAATTGGTGGTCTGACACCTAAAGAGACAAAAAAGTTAATCAGAAATCTTTTGTTTTGCTTTATTCTTAATCCTTAGTCAATTTGTAGTTAAAAACAGCCTATCTGAACATAATGAGACTTTTATTACAAATTTCACAGCTTAATTTAAACTGACTGTAATGTATAACTTTGATAGAAAATACTTGAAAATTTCATTTTGGACTACAGGAACATAAACTTTCAATATCAAGATCAGTTTTTGTTGATTTTTCCTTGTTTGTTCTACTACTTTAAAGACTTTCCACAATTTTTACAATGAGTCTAGTAAAAAATCCAAGGTATTGAAGAGTCAAGGAATATTGACCCCCCTTTTTTCACCTGGTGTCAGTAATGGGACTATTAACTGATCAAAAGTGCGGTCATGGTCATTTATCTGTTTTTATTTACTATCAGTCAATAAAATTTAAGGTATAAAACGTTCATTTGAGATTATAAATGGGATTTTTGTGAGTTTATGCAGTGTTTACATCAGGCTATGTTATCTGCCAAATACATTGTATGACGCAATGATATAAAGGGTAAAAATCAAATAATTTCATAAAATCTTCATGACGACAATTTTTTTGGGGTAGTAAACAACCTATGTTTTAATGTCTAACACCACAGAAACAACTTACTGTCCATTTATAACAATTTAGGACATTTTTTTATATGAAAGCATATTGTCAGGGTGGGAAAAGCTAAAAATAGCACAAATTCAGGTTTAAGGCTCTAAATATGCAATATCTGACTTTTTGCCCAAAAAAAGATTGAAATGTGGCTACTATCATTTCAATTGATCAGTTAAGACAAAAAAATCAATCGTTTTCTGATTTTGGGGTTTCACCGCATTTCACTTAAGGGTGTCAGACCACCAATTAAATATCCCTATCTGTTCAACCAAATTTTGCAATTTTCACAGCTTTCTAAATATTTTACCTTAAGTTTAACTTCATAGAAACCAGGTATATCCTGAATTGTACATGTATCAGCTTTCTGCATGCCAATTTTCAACATACATTTAAAGCCTTCTAAGAAAAAAACTGACCTTCAAAAAGAGGTACTCCAAAAATAACCCCTGGTTTTCTGGAAATCTTAAATAAGTATACTATGGAGCGCATTAATCCTGAATTTTTAATGCAAACTCATAGATATGTAAATTTTGGCTCAAAATGGTCTAAATATATTTCTCTTTCACCAAAAGTTTCATTTCTGCAAATTTGTTGGTTAGTTTAAGTAAACAAGGACATCAAAAGCACTATTTTGTGTCAGAGTAGGGCTACTTTTACATATGTTCTAAATTAGAGGGAGTAATTGGTGGTCTGACACCTTAAAGGTTCATCATAACAAATGGACAAAAATGGCTGTATTTACACCTCAAAAACTATTCATTTACATGTAGTACAGACTAAACTGTGCAGTTGGAAAAGTTTTAAGGCCTGGCATCCACTAGACATATAACATGTATAAAAGTTCAGGTTCATCATAACAAACGGACAAAATGGCTGTATTTCCACCTCAAAAACTACTCTGAGTACAGACTTACATGTACCTGTCCAGTTGGAAAAGTTTTAAGGCCTGGCATCCACTAGATATATAAAAGTTAAATGAATTTTGTGTTTCAGAAAGATATAATCTTTTTGGGATTTTGATGGCCTTTTTTTCCCTTTCTGCAGAAAGTGTAAAAATAAACACCTGAATTGCTTTGATACCATCCGCTCAGTTAAATCCTTTAAATCACCTATATATGTGTAGATACACGGCCACCAATCCAACTAAATCATACACAAATAATATGAAAACAAGTGCGTTAATCCGACTTCCGAGTATGCAGTAGAAGTAATAAACAATCAAGAATTGCTATACATTCACAAGGTAAGTCACCTATTTATGTCATAAGCTTTATATTTTTAAAAAAACCGAGAATGTCATTCGACCCTTTATTTTGTTTTCCTTCATGTGTTATCACAACTTTGTTGTACATTGAGTAGTATTTTTACTACAGCTTTTCTCCCGGTGAATAACGATACAATCTGCACGAAATTCTTACCGACATCTTATGTTATTTGTTAATAAGACACGTTATGCATGAGTACTGGTACAATTATTGATCGGTGTGATATATAAATTAATTATACGTTGCGAGATGTGTTTATATGTCTTTATTATCATTTTAACGATATAAACCTAGGAGGATATGGTTTGAAGGTATCATATATGATTAAAACGTACCAAGTATGAGTTGGTGGTAACGTAAGAATACACTACTAAAAATTTAGATCATAAAATTGCTCTTAGTATAATGTAGTTACACATCTCAATAATCCAGCTTTCTAATAAAAAAAACATCTTTATATGTGTAATGCTTGCTGAAAAAGCTCTCCTCTAAATTTATTTTCTTGTCTTTGCAGGTTCCAAATGGGAAAAGTTAAAGGGATTAATTTGACGTTTTTGCAAAAAATACAGATTGATTTTCTTTTCGCACTATTACAGATACAATATTGATGAATTGGTCGTCAAAGAAAAAGGCGATTTCAATCATCGCCCCCCCCCCCCCCCCACCTTTTTTTTTTAGATCCGTCACTAGTTTTCGCTTTACATTTTGCCTCATTCCGTTTTAATCTAGAATTCTATTTTAATACATTCGTATTCAACCTTCTTTTATAATTATAGAGAGCTGAAACTGTGTGTTTGTTGTCCAATGTTGGTTATTTGATTATTTTTATCGTTTGTTTGCTGTCTCATTTTGTTAACGTTTCATCAAAGACATCCATTTCTTTATATAAGGTTCTGGTTGAGAGGTTATTTACTATTCCGAGCAAGTATTCTTATTTTTATAAACATTGTTAGATTGTTAGAAGCTGTTAAACTTAGATTACTTCATTTAATGAATTTAGGACGAGAATATTTATATATGATATGCAGGTTGCTAACTTGTTTATAACGATAAATAGCAAATAGATGCGTACAATAATTATTTGCATTTTCAGGCAAATAGTTTTGATCTGCGTGTTTCATTAAATGGATTGTTTTGCTAGCTCAGTTTTCGACTATTAGTTTTCTTTTATTGTTGAAGGCTTCCAGTAGACGGTCCGGTCTTCGGTTAATAAAACTGGCAATCCCAGTCAACTAAGATAGGAGTCGAGCGCATCCGCCTTAAAAGGGTTGAATTTAAACCTTCATGCTTACTGGCTAATTATTACTGTTAGATATATATCCCCTAAAGGAAGGACGGTACCTAAAGATGAATTTATTCATAATTAACATTGACATTGTGTAAAAGAACATCATCATGTTGGTTACTAAAATATCTCTCACTTAATCATACTCGTTACTTTTAAGTCATATATGGTCCTTCTTAACCATACATTCTTAATTTTCTTGTGATAATTTGATAATAAATACAATTATAAAGTATTTTGCTTTCTAGAATTAATTTATATATCACACAGATCAATAAATGTACCAGTACTCATGCATAACGTGTCTTATTAACAAATAACAAAAGATGTCGGTAAGAATTTCGTGCAGATTGTATCGTTATTCACCGGGAGAAAAGCTGTAGTAAAAATACTACTCAATGTACAACAAAGTTGTGATAACACATGAAGGAAAACAAAATAAAGGGTCGAATGACATTCTCGGTTTTTTTAAAAATATAAAGCTTATGACATAAATAGGTGACTTACCTTGTGAATGTATAGCAATTCTTGATTGTTTATTACTTCTACTGCATACTCGGAAGTCGGATTAACGCACTTGTTTTCATATTAATTGTGTATGACTTAGTTGGATTGGTGGCCGTGAGATACCTATTGTCCATGTCAATCAAGGACAATCAACACAATACAATACAGTTTTTACCTGAGGGAGCATCTCAAAGTTGTATCCCAACTTAGTTTATTTTTTCACCTTCTGCATGAACGAAAAAAAATGCCCATCAAAATCCAAAAAAGATTATATCTTTCTGAAACACAAAATGCATTTCACTTTTATATATCTAGTGGATGCCAGGCCTTAAAACTTTTCCAACTGGACAGGTAAGTCTGTACTCAGAGTAGTTTTTGAGGTGTAAATACAGCCATTTTTGTCTGTTTGTTATGATGAACCTTAAATGCATTTTGTGTTTCAGAAAGATTAAATCTTTTTTTGGATTTTGATGGGCATTTTTTCGGTTCCTGCAGAAGATGTAAAAATAAACCAAGTTGAGTTAAATCTTTGAGATGGTCCCTCACAGGTAACAACTGTATTGTATTGATTGTCTGTGATTGACACAACAATAGATATCTACACAATAATACATTTGTAGGTGAGTTGAAGGTTGTAACTGAGTGGACAGTATCAAATGTAATTCAGGTGTTTGTTTATTTTTACACCAACAGCAGGAACGAAAAAAATAAATGCCCATCAAAATCCAAAAAAGAATTAATTTTTCTGAAACACAAAATGCACTTAAATTTTATATATCTAGTGGATGCCAGGCCTTAAAACTTTTCCAACTGCACAGTTTAGTCAGTACTCAGAGTAGTTTTTGAGGTGTAAATACAGCCATTTGTGTCCATTTGTTATGATGAACCTTAACGTTGATCTGGCCCTAATTTAAAAAAAATATTTACAAGGGATAAAAAGGTGTTTTTTTTTATGAATGAGTTACACCGGTTGACCCGCAGTAAATGACGTCATTAAACAATTAGTTCCTACTGTGACGTAATAACATAAGCATTATGGCATAGGAAATTTAAGCATGTTAAGGGAAAGTGCAAGAATAAGAAAGTCGTCAATTACAGCAAAGGTGGAGATCAAAAATTGGGTACAAGACAAATCGGCATTTAGACATTTGGACACCTTGTTCATGTTGTTCCAAAGTCAAATTGGCACTGTTTAGGTCATTTTTAAGGTTCAGGTCAACTTTAAGGTTCATCAGGTCATTTTGGGACCAACACAAATTGGCATTTTGTATCTCTATAATTTCCTGGTATCAGTAAAAGTGAAGAAAAAATAATAATTAAAAATGATTTAACAATTTACTGTAAAACAAGAATTTTGATAATGATAATAAAATCCTTGCATAAAATAATTATGCAATACGAAATTTGATTGTGTTTGAACAGTCAGGGGACTTACTTAAATGAGTGATTTTCTAAATCACTGATTCAAGTAACATTATGTCCATAAAGGTTGGAAGTAAGAGTTGTCTTTCTTTAATAATCACCTATTCAAGTAGTACAAATTAATCACTAGACTAAGTGATTTAATTTTATTGTAGCTTTAAATATAGAATACTAATGATCCAGGGACTAATTATGTTGCTAAAATTATCAGAACCAACATCTGTGTTGATAGGATGACCGGGTCATGTCAGGTGATGACCTTGTACTAAATCTAGGATAATGACATAAAAATCACTTGTTTAAGTATCATACCTCAATTTCCTTCAAAAAAAAATCACTTCTTTAAGTATCATTATTTTAATAACCCCCACTAATTTCAACACCCCAGAACAGTGAAATTTTGATCGCGAACAGTAGAATTTTATTACATAGTCTATAAGATGAAACCTTGAACTTTACAGGAAAAATACTCCTACAGCTGGGAAAAATCAGTTAAGAAAGTATCAGTTCATTATGTAAAGCCATTTTTATACGACCGCAAAAAAATTTTGAGGTCGTATATTGGTATGACGTTGGCGGCGTCGTCGTCGTCCGGCGTCGTCGTCCGAATACACAATGGTTTTCGCACTCTACTCTAACTTTAGTTTAAGTGAATGGATCTCTATGAAATTTTACCATAAGGTTCAATACCACAATAGGAAGGTGGGGATTGATTTTGGGGGTTGTGGTACCAACAGTTAAGGAATTAGGGGCCAAAAAGGGGCCGAAAATAAGCATTTTTGTAACTTCCAGACATAACTTGTGTGTTAGCATATGGATCTCTTTGACATTGTACCACAAGATTCCATATCACAAAGGGTCAATGCTGGGATTGATTTTGGGGTTAATTGCCTCAAAATTTTAGGAATAAGGGGCCAAAAGGGGGCAAAAAACAAGCATTTTTCTAGTTTCATGACAATAACTTGTGTGTAAGTGTATGGATCTTTCTGAAATTTTACTACAAGGTTCCATTTCACAAAGGGAAAGCTGGAATTGAGTGTTGTGGTAATTGCCCAAAACGTTTAGTAATAAGGGGCCTAAAAAGGGGTTTAAAATAAGCATTTTTTAGTTTCTAGACAATAACTTGTGTTCAAGTGTATGGATCTCTCTAAAATTGTATTACAAGGTACCATACCACAAAGGCAAGGCTGTTATTGAGCTTGGTTTGGGGGGAAAAGGGGGGTGGGGGTGATGAATCATACAGGGGGGGCGGGGGTCAAAAAAGGGGTAATTTTTTTTTTTCCTTTTTTTTTTGTTTAAAATTTACATTTTAAGTTAGTTATTTTTTATCACGAAGAGAAAGTAGGAATTGAGTTTTGGGGTTAATTGCTCAAACATTTATGAATAAGGGGCCAAATATTGGTCGAAAATAAGGATTTTTTTAGTTTGCAACAAAAACTTGTGTTCAAGTGTATGGATCTCTGTGAAATTGTATTGCAATGTACCATACCACAAATTGAAGGTTGTGATTGAGGTGGGGGATGATGAATCAAAAGGGGGTTGAAAAAATTGTGGGGGGGTAGGATTTTTTTTTTTCCTTTTTTTTTCTTTAAAATTTTCCATTTAAAGATGGTTGTTTCAGATTTATATATGAAAGAAAATAATAATGATACGGTTATATATCATGAGGAATTGAAATTTAAAATTATGTATATTGGAAATTTAGGTTACATTGGAAAGTATTAATTGGCTTTGGGGGGGGGGGGGGGGGGGTGGTTATGGCTCTAATGTTTAAGGAATAAGGGGAAAAAAAGGTTAAAAAACAAGGGTTTCCATTTTAATAGACAAATAATTGAGTAAAGAACATTATTTAAAAGCAGTGTAAGGTTGGTAATTCAAACTCATTTAAATATCTCATCTACACTGCTTTTAAATTATGTAAATTGGAAATTTGCCAATAACTTTATTGTTAATAAATGCATTGGAAATTTGCCAACAATTTTAGTGTAATAAACTTCATTGGAAATTTGCCAATATAAAATTTTGCTGATGAAGGTTTTTTGTTTACCTTTAGCCTTGACTATGAAGTCATTTTCTATTTTTATAGCCTTATATATGATGTAGTTGAATTATTTAATACTTTTATGATGTGTTTAAATGGGGTTTTATCATGTTTATGGTTGCAAATTTATTGTTTTAGTATAATAAACTCCATTTAAAATTTGCCAATAAAAAAAATTTTTGTTTATTTTTAGCTATGATTATGATGTCATTTTCTATTTTACTTTTATGGTTGCAAAGAAATTTTTATTTTTAGATATTACTGTTAAATGATGCTGATTAAGGTTTTTGCTATGTTTAGCCATGACTATGATGGCATTTTCTATTTTAATATCTGTAATGATGTATTTAAATGGGCTTTTATGGTTACAAAGGAATTTTATTTTTAGATATTACTATAAAATGTTGCTGATGCTGATTAAGGATTTTGTTTATTTTTAGCCATGACTATGATGTCATTTTCTATTTTAATACCTTTATGATGTAATTTCCATTTTTAGATATTACTGTTAAATGATGCTGATTAAGGGTTTTTTGCTATGTTTAGCCATGACTATGATGTCATTTTCTATTTTAATATCTTTATGATGTATTTAAATGGGCTTTTATGTTAACAAAGGCATTTTATTTTTAGATATTACTTTAAATGTTGCTGATTAAGGATTTTTGTTTATTTTTAGCCATGACTATGATGTCACTTTCTATTTTAATACCTTTATGATGTATTTAAATGGGCTCCCATGTATTTAGATTTTTGATTATTTATACATGTTACCAAATTGGTCCACATTGAACAAAAACGGTCCAAATTTCAACTTTATTACATTACATCAAACATTGAATTCTACATATTCTTTGATATATTGAAATTAACAAACAATTTAGTTTATGGATATTCCACCATAATAGGTAAATTAAATTTTTTCCAATTCTTACACCACATTCATCCTGTGTCAGAAACCTATGCTGTGTCAAATATTTAATGACAATCCAAAGTCATAGCTGTATCAAGCTTGAATTTTGTGTCCATACTTGCCCCAACTGCTCAGGGTTCGACCTCTGCGGTCGTATCAAGCTGCGCCCCAGCGAAGCATTTTATTATAGCATTTTTTCAACTAAAATAGAATTTGCAGCTAAATGATTGCATCAAAGGCATAAACCTTGCTGCTTAAAAGAAGCAAAAAGTTCATTTTTTTTCAATTTTACTAATGAAAAGATATTATCTAAACCTATGTGTTTAAAATTTTGGTAAAACTACAAAATCACAATTTGTGACAAAACTTCAAATTTGCTACTTAAATAAGTGATTTAAAAATCACTTATTTCAATAAGTCCCCTGACTGTTGAAAAAACATATTGAATTGGATCATAATTGATTGTAGTTCTGCATTAATCAAGATTTTATGTTAAAAGTTTATAAGAGTTTTGATAATTTCTCTTTGAAGATCAATACTGTACAGCTTGTGTTTGCAGCTTGGGTTATCGTTTGATTCCCACAGTTCTAATTACAACAAACATGACAAAATACCTGTGATCTAAATCTTATTGTTTTAACATTGCAATCTGTAACTAAAAGTGTGTGCAAGCCATATTGAGACTCAGTAAAAGCCCAGAACATCATTAGATTTTCAACACTTTAGAATTTCCTATACTTTCACAATGTCGTGAATGTCAGACGAAAAATATACATGTTTAGGATTATTTTTCATTATATCTATGTTTTGAAATATTTATAATAATGTAAATGTTAACAACCGTCTGAGTGCTCATAAAAGAGCGGGAAAAAATTAAAAACATTTACTTCTTCTGACCCTGGGAATAGTATACTGTCAATATATTATGCCCCAGACTAACCCAAATAATTACACGAAATGTCCAAACAGAAAACATGTATTAAATCTAAGAAAATCTAATTCAGTATGGACCACTGTGGTCACAGAATTAGTTGTTAATAATATTTAAGGTCTGAAAGCTTAACAGTGGAATATAAACATATTTACTACTGTACATGTAGCTTCTATGAGGTGCCATTTGTCCTGATACTGAACTGTCTTTCTCTGGTGCTGAAATGTCTTTCACATGCCTAACTGGCCTGGTGCCGAATTGCTGTTCATCATAACTATCAATTAAATAAAATAATTTGTTTTTATTTCAGAGGGAAAACAATCCTGACTATAACAGTGATATTAGACAGTTCCTTCCAAGATCCCTGAAATTACAAAGATCAAAGGCAACAGAACAGGTACATTGTCCACTCGTAGATCATACAATGTAATATAAGCAAGTGTATTTCTGACACAATCAAAATTTACAATCTGCTTCTTGATGGTCTTCAATATTACCACAAAGATGATACTTTCAGTACAATTTATATACTTGTTATGTAAAGGAACACCACATTTTTATACAACCGCCAAACAAATTTTGTGGTCGTATATTGGTATGACGTTGGCGTCGTCGTCGTCGTCCAAAGACACATTGGTTTTCGCACTCTAACTTTAGTTTAAGTGAATGGATCTCTATGAAATTTTACCATAAGGTTCAAGGTAACAAGACATTTCGGCACCCAGACAAATCGGCACCCAAGTCCGAAGACATTTCGGCATCCATTTTGGACATTTCGGGATCCGGACATTTCGGGACCAAGACAATTCGGCACCTCGTTTTTAAAAATATATATTAGGAAAAATTAAAGAATTGTTGCAGTAATGTAGTAGGTTGTTTTCTATGGTTGGAATAACAACTAACGAGAGCTAAGGGTTCTGATGCTTTATTGTACCAGTAGAATAAAACAAGTCTGAAATAGCAATACAACATGTATAAATAACAAGCTATTTCATATAACATAAATACTTTTACGAAATATCACAGTTTATATAATACAGAAATATAATAATAAATAATACATTTATCTGTTATTAAATAAGTAGCAAGTAAAATGTTTTACAAGTAGAAGATGTTCAATGTTTTCAGTCAGTGAAATTGACCTCGGTGTCACGTGCACTTTAACAACAAGATTCACTTTTATTTACACTGTATATTGCAATGTGATGTACGATAAATTTGTGTATCTGTGTATATGTAATCACTACTGGTTTACCTTACAAACGGTATATAAAAAATGTTATATCTACATTTATTAATAATAACTTCATTAAAATATATAATACGTATAATAATTAACTACATAATTAAGGAATGACTGTAATATTTTTTCTGTCTATGAAGAAATAACATAAAAAATGTGGTGCACACTGAATAACCCGCGTAGCGGGTTATTTTAAAGTGTGCACCACATTTTTTATGTTATTTCGAATAGACAGAAAAAATATTACAGTCATTTCTTATAATTTAATTCTAAATTCCATTTTAAACCGAAGTAAACCATGAAGAAACGTTGATGAAGTCACGGTCACATGACAAAATTATGTCTATGAGCTGATAAACAAAACAACGTCAGCCAATCAGAAGACGCGTTACATCCAAAATTAAATTATTATCATACAACAATCATAAAGTTGCAAATATAATAATCATAAAGACTTATGATGTCAATATTATTGATTCGTTAAAAACTCCAATTAAAGGGGAGGTAACTCATGTTTACAATACAATATAAACAATGCCAAACTATAAATAAATTAACTCTTACCACTTATGGAGTGAGTTGAACTAGTAAGGTTAATGGCACATCAAATAAACATCACACAATCATGTGTCCTGTATAATTACACATTACATGGAGTCCTGAAACCAAAATACAAACATAAATACTCGGACTCTAATTATAAAAATATACAATGTGACAAATATTCTTTACTCATTCATATTTGTACTTTATAAAAACTATTCAATACTAAACTATTACTTTATATAAATGGAAACACTTTTCAGTCTTTTGTTTAACAAAGCCGCCATTTATAAAATATAGACTATTCGTGACAGTAATCAAATAGTTATGTCCGCAAATTAATAATATAATTCTACCGTGGCAAATAAACCGTAGATTATAAAATCATATACTTATAGCTTAATAAAATACTCTCATGTACATCTTGTGTACTTATGTTACATGCATGCGATATGAGGAGAACGTTACAAGACAAATAGAAACTTTGCTATAATATCATTTACGTGAAAAATATAAATAATGTTAATAAAGAAGTAAACTTACAGTATTCAATAAATATGTTGTGTCCAAAATAATAAGGTTTACAGGTAAATTATGTGGTCAATATAAACAGACATAAATTCAATGGACTGTCATGGCTATCGTCCGTGGAAATATACTAGGTACAAAACAAAGGAAATTAAACTTGACCGCGAAATACTAACAGCCAATCAAATACAATGATTTAAGTAATCCCTAATGCGTATTCATAGAAAATAACGTGAATATTACTATACATATAAGTAAGGTTTTCAAGTAATAATTCAAACTAAAAATACAATATTCAAAATATGTAATTAAGCTTTTATCATAAATATAGTAATTTAATAAATAGATGATTTTTACAATATATAAAATGATCATAAAAATCACTCTGCTACATTCTCCCCGCTGTAGGAAAATGACTTCCACGTCATTCCAGTCTGTTTCCCCCTTCACTGAAAGTTGACGTCCTCGGCAAGCCATGAACCACTAGGTGTTGCTTCGCATAATGTCAAGGATGGTTCTGGACAACTCCATCTTCAAGCCTTTAAATCTCCCTTTCTGTGCTTCAGACTCCAACCAGTGAATCTTCATTAACCAATCTGGCTGTTGGATTGTAGCCTGCTTGGATACAACATAGTCCTCAAGGTACTTCGGTGGTTTCCTGTTCCTCTATGGTCTAGTTGATACTGGCGAATCTCGTGGTGGTGTCGGTAATAGAAGTATACTTTGCCGACTCTAAATAAAGCTTATTTATTATTTATTATATTTATTACATGTATGCATAAACTGTTGAATATAATTATGCTAAATATAATAAATAAATATTATTAATATTCTAGATTTGTTTTATTGATTTGGGATACTATGGTAATAGAACTATGCATTACATTAAAACTAGTACATGAACATTAAAACTAGTACATGAATGGTGAAATCTATAAAATCCGAATGTTCATTGTATCAGGAAAAATAATACACACAAATAAGACACCTATCAAAATGACTAAGCTGCAGTACAGTCTTCACAAATAAATAACAAAAGGAATAAACCACTTAATAAGATACTTCTTCGAAGATACCATATACAATATTGATAATAATGTTGTAAATAGTGCAGGAAACAAATTAGTAATTTGTAAAAACAGTGAAACATAATTGCTATAAATTAACACTAAACTTGCAAATTGAGTTCAGGCCCTTTATAAATATATCAGTGCCAGGAAATTTTAATTTTTGGTTCACTATATTTAGATCAAAGATAAATAATTTATAAGATGCCGATTTGTCTATGTTAGGTGCCGATTTGTCTATGTTAGGTGCCGATTTGTCTGGGTGCCGAATTGTCTTTCGGGGGGGGGGGGGGGGGGGGGGGGGGGGGGGGGGGTGCCGATTTGTCTATGTTAGGTGCCGATTTGTCCGGATGCCGATTTGTCTGGGTACCGAACTGTCTATAATTCAAGGTTCAATACCACAAAAGAAGGGTGGGGATTGATTTTGGGGGTTATGGTACCAACAGTTAAGGAATTAGGGGACAAAAAGGGGCCAAAAATAAGCATTTTTGTAACTTCCAGACATAACTTGTGTGTTAGTGTATGGATCTCTCTGACATTGTACCACAAGGTTCCATATCACAAAGGGAATGCTGGGATTGATTTTGGGGGTAATTGCCTCCAAATTTTCAGAATTAGGGGCCAAAAAGGGGCAAAAAACAAGCATTTTTCTAGTTTCATGACAATAACTTGTGTGTAAGTCTATGGATCTCTATGACATTGTATCACAAGGTTCCATATCACAAAGGGAATGCTGGGATTGATTTTGGAGGTAATTGCTTCTAAATGTTAGGAATTAGGGGCCAAAAAGGGGCAAAAAACAAGCATTTTTCTAGTTTCATGACAATAACTTGTGTGTAAGTGTATGGATCTTTATGAAATTGTACTACAAGGTTCCATATCACAAAGGGAAAGCTGGAATTGAGTTTCGGGGTAATTGCCCAAAAAGCTTAGGAATAAGGGGCCAACAAGGGGCCAAAAATAAGCATTTTTCTAGTTTCCAGACAATAACTTGTGTTCAAGTGTATGGATCTCTCTGAAATTATACTGCAAGGTACCATGCCACAAAGGGAAGGCTGGGATTGATTTTGGGGGTAATTCCCTCAAAATTTTAGTAATTAGGGGCCATAAAAGGGCAAAAAAAACAAGCATTTTTCCAGTTTCAGGACAATAACTTGTGTGTAAGTGTATGGATCTTTATGAAATTGTACTGCAAGGTTCCATATCACAAAGGGAAAGCTGGGTTTGAGTTTGGGGGTAATTGCCCTAAATGTTTAGGAATTTGGGGCCAAAAAGGGGCCAAAAAACAAGCATTTTTCTAGTTTCCAGACAATAACTTGTGTTCAAGTGTATGGATCTCTCTGAAATTGTACTGCAAGGTACCATACCACAAAGGGAAGGCTGGGATTGAGTTTGGGGGTGATGAATCATAAGGGGGTTCAAAAAATTTGGGGAGGGGGGGATTTTTTTTCCCTTTTTTTCTTTAAAATTTTCCATTTTAAATTGGTTATTTCTGATTTATATATAAAAACAAATAATAATGATATGGTTTGAATAGGTAAATTAAAAAAATTTAAGTTCTTAGACCACTTTCATTCTGTGTCAGAAACCTATGCTGTGTCAAATATTTAATAAAATCCAAATTCAGTGCTGTATCAAGCTTGAATGTTGTGTCCATACTTGCCCCAACTGTTCAGGGTTCGACCTCAGCGGTCGTATCAAGCTGCGCCCCAGCGGAGCATTTTCTTGTAACTTCCAGACATAACTTGTGTGTTAGTGTATGGATCTCTCTGACATTGTACCACAAGGTTCCATATCATAAAGGGAATGCTGGGATTGATTTTGGGGGTAATTGCCTCCAAATTTTAGGAATTAGGGCCAAAAAGGGGCAAAAAACAAGCATTTTTCTAGTTTCATGACAATAACTTGTGTGTAAGTGTATGGATCTTTCTGAAATTGTACTACAAGGTTCCATATCACAAAGGGAAAGCTGGAATTGAGTTTGGGGGAAATTGTCCAATACGCTTAGGAATAAGGGGCCAAAAAGGGTCCAAAAATAAGCATTTTTCTAGTGTTTCCAGACAATTACTTGTGTTCAAGTGTATGGATCTCTCTGAAATTGTACTGCAAGGTACCATACCACAACGGGAAGGCTGGGATTGATTTTGGGGGTAATTGCCTCAAAATTGTAGGAATTAGGGGCCATAAAGGGGCAAAAAACCAAGCATTTTTCTAGTTTCAGGACAATAACTTGTGTGTAAGTGTATGGATCTTTATGAAATTGCACTACAAGGTTCCATATCACAAAGGGAAAGCTGGGTTTGAGTTTGGGGGTAATTGCCTAAACGTTTAGGAATTTGGGGCCAAAAAGGGGCAAAAAAAATAAGCATTTTTCTAGTTCCAGACAATAACTTGTGTTCAAGTGTATGGATCTCTCTGAAATTGTACTGCAAGGTACCATACCACAAAGGGAAGGCTGGGATTGAGTTTGGGGGTGATGAATCATAAGGGGGTTCAAAAAATTTGGGGGGGATTTTTTTTTTTTTTTTTTTCTTTAAAATTTTCCATTTTAAATTGGTTATTTCTGATTTATATATAAAAGCAAATAATAATGATATGGTTTGAATAGGTAAATTAAAAAAATTAAGTTCTTAGACCACATTCATTCTGTGTCAGAAACCTATGCTGTGTCAAATATTTAATTACAATCCAAATTCAGTGCTGTATCAAGCTTGAATGTTGTGTCCATACTTGCCCCAACTGTTCAGGGTTCGACCTCTGCGGTCGTATCAAGCTGCGCCCCAGCAGAGCATTTTATTAAAGCATACATTTATAAATTCTTTTGTTCTATTGTCTTATCACATTTTTGGTTTCTTGGTGATACGAAAGTACCACTTGACTTATCCTATAGTTCACACATATACAGGTTTTGGAACATAGAAATGAGAAGATGTGGTATGAGTGCCAATGAGACAACTCTCCATCTAAGTCACAATGTGTAAAAAGTTAACAATTATAGGTCAAAGTACGGCCTTCAACACGGAGCCTTGGCTCACACCGAACAGCAAGCTATAAAGGGCCCCAAAAATGACTAATGTAAAACCATTCAAAGAGGAAAACCAACGGTCTAATCTATATAAAAAACGAGAAACAAGAAACACTTATGAACCACATCAACAAACGACAACCACTGAACAACGACCTCCCGACTATATCTATTTTGATGATTGGATGCACACTGTTCAGCATTATGTTTATTATGTTATTAGCACTATCTGGTTGCCTGTTTAAACCAAAAAGTAGAAATGTCAGTTTACAAACACAAAGTTATCTCCCCCTTGGATATGGGTATTTTCACATACAGAAAGGTTTGCCATTTCATTTTGGAAAACAATTATTCTACCTCTGAACTACATGATACCATTTCACATAATTCTGTGTTTATACATCCATTTCAAATGCTCTTACACATACATGTATATCTATGACATAATAAACCATAAACAATGAAAAAAAACTAGATCAAAAGTAAAATCAAATCTTTTGAATGAAGTTAAATGTGGCTATGTCAATTGTACATGTATTATTCTTTTTATTGCTAGCTTGGTTTCAACATTCGTGGAGGACAAGAACATCATTGTGGAATATTTGTATCCAAGGTAATATAACCTTTATTGTACTGGTATACATGTATATGTTCATTTCTCTAATTCTTAGACAGTTTAGGTAAAGTTGATTTCAGTTCTTCATTGGTCAAAATTCAATAACGACGTCAAATTTTCTTGCTTTCTTATAACTTTGCTACATGTGTATTGTGACATAAAGTAAGGTAACCATGTCTGGAAACGTCACATAAAATGGAAACAATTTTTTGCAGATCATTGAAATTTTACCTACATAAAATTTAAAAATCATTAAATGAAGAGATTCCACCACCAATCGTGTGCAATATGATACTTCTACTTTCTTGACAGTTAAATTATAAATATTAAATATTTAAAATGCTCTGAAAACTTAACAGTCTTGAGAGGATAAATATTGTATCACAGTAAGTGCTCTGGTGGAATCTATATGTATATATTTTTTTTTAAACCGGATTTTCGAAGGAAAAATCGGTTATTGATTTGGGGATGTACGGCGGGCAGGCGGGTGGCTGCCAAACAGTGTCCTTTCAATAACACGAAAACACTATAACCAAATTTTTATGCCCCCGCCGTAACGGTGGGGGCATTAAGTTTTACCCTTGTCCGTCTGTACGTACGTACGTACATCCCAAAATTGGTTTCCGTTCTCTAACTTGAGTTTGCCTCAACCAAATGTTATCAAACTTATACACAATGCTTATTACCACAAAACACAGATCAAGTTTGAATATTGGTGGCGTCACTTTAATCTTTCTAGAGTCATGCCCCTTAATAAATAGAAAAATTGCAAAATTTTTAGTTTCTGTTCTCTTTTTTAAGTTTGCCTCAACCAAATGTTATGAAACGTATACACAATGCTTATTACCACAAAACACAGATCAAGTTTGAATTTTGGTGGCGTCACTTTAACTGTTCTAGAGTTATGCCCCTTTATAAATGGAAAAATTGCAAAATTTTTAGTTTCTGTTCTCTTTTTTAAGTTTGCCTCAACCAAATGTTATGAAACGTATACACAATGCTTATTACCACAAAACACAGATCAAGTTTGAATTTTGGTGGCGTCACTTTAACTGTTCTAGAGTTATGCCCCTTTATAAATGGAAAAATTGCAAAAATTTTATTTTCTTCTAAATATCAAGTAATTTATTAAATTGGAGTTATCTTCCTTTGTCCATGATTATAGTTGAATCAACTACAATCAATGCTTTATACAATGCAATGTTAAATTTTGAGTTCCACTGATAAAACACAGATCAAGTTGAATTTGGGTAGTGTCACTTTAACCATTATTGAGTTATGCCCCTTTATAAATCGAAAGATTGTAAAATTTTTAGTTTCCATTCTGTAACTTAAGTTTGCCCCAACCAAACATTATGAAACCTATACACAATATTCATTACCACAAAACTAAGATCAAGTACAAATTTTTTGTTTCCCTTTTCTATGTTTAGTTTGCCTCAACCAAATGTTTTGAACTTATACACAATGCTTATTACTACATAATACAGATTAAGTACAAAATTTGGTGGCGACACTTTTACCTTTCTTGAGTTATGTCCCTTTATAAACATAAAAATTGCTGAATTTTTCGTTTCCGTTCTCTTACTTTAGTTTGTCTCAACCAAATGTAATAAAACTTATACACAACCGTTCTAGAGTTATGCGTGTACAAATAGAAAAATTGCTGAGTTTTTAGTTTCTGTTCTCTACTTAAGTTAGCCTCAACCAAATGCTATGAGACTTACACACAATGCTTATTACCAGAAAACTCAGATCAAGTTCAAATTTGGGTAGCTTCACTTTTACCGTTCTTCAGTTATGTCCCTTTATAACTATATGATATGCAAGCGGGGGCATCATCTGTGTCCACATGTGGACACCATCCACATTTTTATTTCAAATTAAGATATGTTGTTTCCTGTGACTAAATGAAGGCCAAGTTCAATTTTCACGATTTAAGCTTTTCTCCTTGTTGAGTTATCGCCCTTTTTAATATCCAAAAGTGGTACTTCTAATGTGATTGAGTTATTTCCCTTTGAACAGAAATTGTTAATTATATATATAAAGTTTGAATACACTAAGTGTTTTTAAATAATTTTTTAATTAATGATTACACAGCATATGGTAAATGTCTTATGACACAATTATAATTGGAGTGACAGATTTATTTGAAAATTTTCTGTTTCCTTAGTGCTGATGATTATAAGCTATATAGTAAGACATTTACTGTTCATTTTTAGACATTTTGAGAATAATTACAGATAAGATTTTTAAAAGACATTGTATTAATGATAAAATTTTTCTTTTTTCTTTCTTTTCTTTGGTTAATTGTTTGAATAATTTTGTGTTAGGTTTGTTTGTTATTCTGTAAAAACTAATTTTCTGAATGCTATATGTATTTTTTTTTTATGAAGTTAACTCCTTTAAAAACTAAGCTTATATTGTCTTTTAATAAACATATATTTAGATTTCTGATTTTGGGCCCAGTTTTCAAGTTGGTCCAAATTGGGGTCAAAAATTAAACTGTGTTTGATTTCAACATAAATTGAATATATATAGGGTTCTTTCAAATGCTGAATCTAAACCTGTATTTATTTTCATTATTAATTAGATAATACCACATTTGGGTCCAAAAATAAACTTTTGTTTCATCAAAAATTAAATTCTTGGGGTTCTTTTATATGCTGATTCTAACAATGTTTTAGTGATTAAATCATATCTAATTTTAGAGAATTTAGTAATCACTGGTTGTTGTTATTATATTAATGATTATAATTTGAAAATAGATGTATATAACATAATATCTAATTTTAGAGAACTATTTATTCAGTTTGAGTTATTTCCCTTTGAACAGAAAATTATATGGATAAAATTAAACTGTGTTTCATTTCAACATAAATTAAATATATATATATAAATATTCAAATGCTGAATCTAAACCTGTACTTAAATATTAGATTTTTGGGCCCAGTTTTCAAGTTGGTTCAAATCAGGGTCCAAAATTAAACTTTGTTCGATTCAACAAAAATTGAATTTATGGGGTTCTTTGAAATGCTGAATCTTACCATGTATTGAGAGATTTTGGATTGTGGGCTCCTTTATCAAATTGGTCCACATTGAGGTCCAAAGGATCCTAAATTAAACTTTTGTTTGATTTCATCAAAAATTGAATTCTTGGGGTTCTTTGATATGCTGATTCTAACAATGTACCTAGATTTTGGATATGAGACCATAATAGGTAAATGTCCAATTTCAAATATTTCAGTTCTTTGACCACATTCATTTTGTGTCACAAACCTATGCTGTGTCAAATATTCAATCACAATCCAAATTCAGAGCTGTTTTAAACTTAAATGTAGCGAAATTGTATTTGGGAACTGGTCTTTTCTTGAAATAATTGCGGTCAACAGATCGGCAAACGAAAGTCCTTTGTAGTTGTTGAAGATCAAATACTTAAGTATGCCCCATTCTATTTGTAGTTCTTCTTGGTTGACTATACTATAATGGTCTCCGAGACACTCTAACTGTTGTTCACCGTAGCGAGGAAGGTCGTCAACACTACAAGGAAAGTTCGACGGTTCAAATACAGAGAATGCTTCGAAAATTTTGTTGTCTGGAAATCGGTCACGAATGTTATCATGTATCAATTGGGCACATTGCACGGCTCTTGTCTTGAGATGAATGTCACGGTTGTTAAGTTTAAAGGTGATAGTGTTGAAGCTGTCGGATTGGTCTGTTGATTTTAGAAATTCGGCACATAATGGTCCAAATGAAGGAATCTCGGTTAAGTACTCGGCCTCTATTGCCATAAGAAAAGAGTCAACTAATTGTTTCACGGTGGCATAAGACAAGTCACGTTTTTGAAGTGATTTGCTGAGCTGATTAATTTTACCAAACAGGTCGGATAAAAAGTAGAGCATGAAAAAGAACTTGTATGTTGTCATACTGTTGTGAAGAGAATTAGCCACGATGGCAGTATCACTCTGGTCGCCTAACATGTTTACAATAGAGACAACAGAACGGCGGAGATTGTCTAAAGCGTTTCCCATAGAAAGCCAGCGGACTTTATGAATATCAAGCGGATTTAACAACGGATCATCTATTATTAGTTGCCATGATCGTAGTTCGGCAAGGTTTGTGGGTGAACGTTTGTAATACGAATATACAGTGCTAACAATGCTTTCTAAAAATTTAATGTCCGGAATTTCTTTTGCCGTGTCAACACAGGCTAATGCTAGGCGGTGAGCTACCCAATGAACCTCTACTAAGTGTGGAGAAGTGTCTTTTAAAAGCTGAGATACACCTCCATGCTTTCCTATCATAACCGACGCACCGTCAGACCCCATGCCAAATATTTTAGACAAGTCTACACCAAATGACTTTAAATAGTCAATTATATGTGCAGTAATTGACACGGCGGTACCAGAAGACAAGTTCAAAAGTTTTGTAAAACTAATTTTCAGTTCACCAGCTTTGAGGTATGATAAGTACAAAATTAAATGTTTTTGTGTAGCCAGATCAGTTGACTCGTCGATCAAAATTCCCACGGCGGGACTTAACTTTACGTCGGACATCACCTCTTTCTCTATAACATCCGAAATTGTCTGAATAAATTCGGAGCAGGCATTGTTCTCTTGATATAATTTAGAAGTGATCACGGCACCATTTAACTTAGTTAAATCATTTATTGACTGAAATTTGTCCATTGGTAAGTTTTCTTTAGCAATAAAGTAAGCATTACGGAACAAGGTGCACATTGCGTTGTCAGTCTTTTCATGAACTTTCTCAAATACTGATACAATTGGATTACTTTTGGAAGCTGTCTCTAATTTAAGAGCTTGAATGTGGTCATTGCTATTAGCATGCTCTACAACGGCTGACTTTCGAAATTTGTCGAACCAGGCTTTACAAAGTTATTTTTAAGTTTATGTTTTTGACAAATGTCACAAAACATGGCATTTAGCATCCTGTCAAATCTTAACCATAAAAACAGTTGTAACCATTTATGAATAAAGCTTCTAGCATTTTTAGCAGATTTAGAATTTTGATCGGAATCGTCACGTTTACGTTTGCCCATGATGGCAGATTTGTAAAGTTCAATTTGAGACAAAGTCTTTATAACAGTCGGAGATTGTCATGATTGGATATTATTCTTTATGATTTTAATTATCAAAACAGTTTTTAATATGAAAACAAGAATAGAGAACGCCCCCCTTATTTATTGGACAACTCAGCTTGGTATACCCAAGCGAAGCTATTCTCGGTGTTTTTCCTATATATTTTAGTAAATTTTCCCCTTGAGAGTACCCCAGTATTTAACACGATGTACAGTGTTAAATAAAATAATATATATCATACTTATTCATTTATAAATATCCTTATTTGAAGAATAACTTTTAAATATCAGGATACTTTTTTAAATTGAATGCTCATTTAAAATAATATCTATAAAGCGTAATTAAATAGGATGTTGATCCATACACGCTTACATGTTTGACCTCGTTTACCTGATTACCTTTATGTACATTGTTATGCATCATTAATTCTATTGATAAAGACAAGCTAAGGACACCTCATCAAAGGTAACAAACCTGTAATCAGTGAATGATTTATGGCTTCAATATAACTCATTGAAGGGATAATTGTTTGACAGCTTGTTGTTATTTAAATAAAAGAAAACGTGTTTTTTCTACTTTTTATTGATGTACACAAGCTAAAGACCAAGCCCTACATTTATGTACCCAGAGGATTAGACTAACTGAGACACTTCAAAGTATCTGAAATATGCTGCTTCTGTTTTATTAAACCCAATTATGACCGAAATATCTTTGTGAAATAGATTGCCACAATTATAAACTAAAATGCCCAAACGGACATTTTTATCGATCGATAGTTGGTAAAAATTGAAATGACCGTTTCATGAAAATGCCTTGAATAACAAAATGTGGCACACCAATTCTATTTGACCGTTTGAGGCTGAGAGCAGCCGGTCTTTTTAAGAAAGTTTCGGTCAAGTCCGGAATATATGGCCGTTTTGGAAGCCCTGGACTCCATACTTGCTCAACTGTTAGAGGGTTCGACCTCTGCAGGAAAATCCGATTTGCTGTCACTCTGACAGCCTCTTGTATAGCTTTATGTTGCCAGGAGTGATGTGTCCTCATGTTAATATCACTATAACTGTATATGATAATGTTCTGGTCTCTAACTTATGTTGTTTACACATTTTCTGCTATTAATATGAATAATTTAGACAAGGTTTAATAGTTTGCCTCATTTCTTCTTTTTCTTTTCATTATAATTATGTATATTACAGGTGATGCCAAACAGTGAAGCAGAACTTTTAGGATTGAGAGAAGGTGACCAGGTATGCTCTCATTTATCACAATCGATAATTTATGGCTTTAGATATAGGAAAAATCAAAGTAACAATAGCCTTGTAACAAATTAAAAAAAGATTCAAAATATTTGCAAAAAAAAAAGCCTAGAATAAAATTATTTTAATTTCAGATATTGATATTGATATGAAGGTTTAATTGGGGTTTCAAAAATTTCTGTGTGAAAATATGAAAAGTTTCTCAATAAGCCTTTTTTTTTATTGTCCCCAGTTTCTGTCTCTGTTTAAGGGGAACAACTAGTGGAAGGTCAATCACAACACATAAAGACTGATCAAAGTTCTGTAAACCAAGTAATTTTTTGTGTACAATTTAATTACAGAACTTTCATGAGTAGAATGTATCGCACCTACAGTAATATAAATTGTCATGAGTATATCAAACTTGGATCTGCTCTTATATGAATTCATCAACAGAGTTTAAAAAATACTTCAATCCGATTTTGTCATGCATGAAAAAAACCATTACGGGTCAACAGTTGTTTATATAAGCACACCAAAAAAGAAAGGAACATTTTTGTCGAGCCTGTGACATTTATGTCGCAAAAGCGACACAGAGCGATCCTATGTGGCGTCAACATTTAGGTTCAGTCTGTGGTTAAAGTTTTTTTTAGACATCAATAACTTTGTCAAACCTTCATGGAATTTTATGAAATTTGGACAGAGGCTTGTTTATGACCAAAATACAGTATCAAGAGCAAAATTTTGAAAATATTTATTTTCATTTTTCCGTCTTTTAATGATTAATGGACTTAGTTTTTATACGACAGCAAAAAAATTTTGTGGTCGTATATTGGTATGACGTTGGAATCGTCGTCGTCGTCATCGTCGTCCAAAGACACATTGGTTTTCACACTCTAACTTTAGTTTAAGTGAATGGATCTTTATGAAATTTTACCATAAGGTTCAATACCACAAAAGGAAGGTTGGGATTGAGTTTGGGGGTTATGGTACCAACAGTTAAGGAATAAGGGGCCAAAAATAAGCATTTTTGTAACTTCCAGACATAACTTGTGTGTTAGTTTATGGATCTCTCTGACATTGTACAACAGGGTCCCATATCACAAAGGGAGTGCTGGGATTGATTTTGGGGGTAATTGCCTCAAACTTTTGGGAATTAGGGGCCAAAAAAGGGGAAAAAAACAAGCATTTTTCTAGTTTCATGACAAAAACTTGTGTGTAAGTGTATAGATCTTTCTGAAATTGTACTACAAGGTTCCATATCACAAAGGAAAAGCTTGAATTGAGTTTGGGGGTAATTGCCCAAAACATTTAGGAATAAGGGGCCAGAAATAAGCATTTTTCTAGTTTCCAGACAATAACTTGTGTTCAAGTGTATGGATCTCTCTGGAATTGTACTGCAAGGTACCATACTACAAAGAGAAGGCGGGATTGATTTTGGGGGTAATTGCCTCAAAATTTTAGGAATAAGGGGCCAAAAAGGGGCAAAAATCAAGCATTTTTCTAGTTTCAGGACAATAACTTGTGTGTAAGTGTATGGATCTTTATGAAATTGTACTACAAGGTTCCATATCTCAAAGGGAATGCTGGGATTTATTTTAGGGGTAATTGCCTCAAAATTTTAGGAATTAGGGGCCAAAAATGGGGCAAAAAACAAGCATTTTTCTAGTTTCATGACAATAACTTGTGTGTAAGTGTATGGTTATGAAATTGTACTACAAGGTTCCATATCACAAAGGGAATGCTGGGATTGATTTTGGGGGTAATTGCTTCAAAATGTTTAGGAATTAGGGGCCAAAAAAGGGGCAAAAAACAAGCATTTTTCTAATTTTATGCCAATAACTTGTGTGTAAGTGTATGGATCTTTCTGAAACTGTACTACAAGGTTCCATATCACAAAGGGAAAGCTGGAATTAAGTTTGGGGTAATTGCCCAAAACATTTAGGAATAAGGGGCCAAAAAGGGGCAAAAAATAAGCATTTTTCTAGTTTCCAGACAATAACGTGTGTTCAAGTGTATGGATATTTATGAAATTGTACTACAAGGTTCCATATCACAAAGGGAAGGCTGGGATTGATTTTGGGGGTAATTGCCTCAAAATTTTAGGAATTAGGGGCCAAAAAAAGGGCCAAAAACAAGCATTTTTCTAGTTTCATGACAATAACTTGTGTGTAAGTGTATGGATCTTTCTGAAATTGTACTACAAGGTTCCATATCACAAAGGGAAAGCTGGAATTGAGTTTCAGGGTAATTGCCCAAAATGTTTAGGAATAAGGGGCCAAAAAGGGCCAAAAATAAGCATTTTTCTAGTTTCCAGACTACATGTGTTCAAGTGTATGGATCTCTCTGAAATTGTACTACAAGGTACCATACCACAAAGGGAAGGCTGGGATTGATTTTGGGGGTAATTGCCTCAAAATTTTAGTAATAAGGGGCCAAAAAGGGGCAAAAAACAAGCATTTTTCTAGTTTCAGGACAATAACTTGTGTGTAAGTGTATGGATCTTTCTGAAATTGTACTACAAGGTTTCATATCACAAAGGGAAAGCTGGAATTGAGTTTCAGGGTAATTGCCCAAAATGTTTAGGAATAAGGGGCCAAAAAGGGCCAAAAATAAGCATTTTTCTAGTTTCCAGACAATAACATGTGTTCGAGTGTATGGATCTCTCTGAAATTGTACTACAAGGTACCATACCACAAAGGGAAGGCTGGGATTGATTTTGGGGGTAATTGCCTCAAAATTTTAGTAATAAGGGGCCAAAAAGGGGCAAAAAACAAGCATTTTTCTAGTTTCAGGACAATAACTTGTGTGTAAGTGTATGGATCTTTCTGAAATTGTACTACAAGGTTCCATATCACAAAGGGAAAGCTGGAATTGAGTTTCAGGGTAATTGCCCAAAAAGCTTAGGAATAAGGGGCCAACAAGGGGCCAAAAATAAGCATTTTTCTAGTTTCCAGACAATAACTTGTGTTCAAGTGTATGGATCTCTCTGAAATTGTACTACAAGGTACCATACCACAAAGGGAAGGCTGGGATTGATTTTGGGGGTAATTGCCTCAAAATTTTAGTAATTAGGGGGCAAAAAACAAGCATTTTTTCTAGTTTCAGGACAATAACTTGTGTGTAAGTGTATGGATCTTTCTGAAATTGTACTACAAGGTTCCATATCACAAAGGGAAAGCTGGAATTGAGTTTCAGGGTAATTGCCCAAAAAGCTTAGGGATAAGGGGCCAACAAGGGGCCAAAAATAAGCATTTTTCTAGTTTCCAGACAATAACTTGTGTTCAAGTGTATGGATCTCTCTGAAATTGTACTGCAAGGTACCATACAATAAAGGGAAGGCTTAGATTGAGTTTGGGGGTGATGAATCATAAGGGGGTTCAAAAAATTTGGGGGGAGGGATTTTTTTTTCCCTTTTATTTTCTTTAAAATTTTCCATTTTAAATTGGTTATTTCTGATTTATATGTAAAAGCAAATAATAATGATATGGTTTGAATAGGTCAATTAATAGTTTATAAGTTCTTAGACCACATCCATTCTGTGTCAGAAACCTATGCTGTGTCAAATATTTAATAACAATCCAAATTCAGTGTCTATCAAGCTTGAATGTTGTGTCCATACTTGCCACAACTGTTCAGGGTTCGACCTCTGCGGTCGTATCAAGCTGTGCCCAGCTGAGCATTTTATTTTTACAGTTAACATTCAGATTCAGTCTGAGGTTAAAGTTTTTCAGTCATCAATAACTTTTCAATAACTTTGTCAAACCTTCATTGAATTTTATGAAATTTGGACAGAAGCTTGTTTATAATGACCAAAATACACTATCCAGAGCAAAAAAAAAATGTTGAATATATTTTTTTTTTTTTTTCTGTATTTTACTGATAAATGGACTTAGTTTTTTTTACAGTTAACAAGTAGATACAGTCTGGGGTTATAGTTTGTTACACATCAATTACTTTATCAAACCTTCATAGAATTTAATGAAACTTTGGCCAAAACTCTTTTCTGATTAAGAAATAATGTCTGAAGCAAACTTTTGAAAATATAATGTCATTTTCAGTGTTTTACTGATAGATGGACTTTACAGTTAACATTTACAGATGGTCTGGGATTGAATTTTTTTGACATGATAAATTTGTAAACCTTCATAGATTGTTATGAAACTTAGACAGAAGCTTAAATCTTCAAGACCAAGAAATAGCGTCTAAAGAAAAAGTTGTTTTTTTTAAAGTTTTATTTTTTTTTTAAATTCTGTATTTTACTGATAAATGGACTCACTTTTTAAGTCAACATTACACTTTTACACTGACAGCAGCAATCGTAGGCAATACACAGGGTTCCGTGGAACCCCTTACAAATTTTATTTATATGAAAGAGTCGGATTTCATTGAGGCTTTATGTGACATCACATCACATAACAACAACAAAATTTTAAAAACACTGTAGGTAGGATATTAGAACAAACCTCTTTTTTCTCTTTTAGTATCTTTTATCTTATGTCATTCAAAGATTTTTTAATATTGAATTGATTTGGAAATGTAAAATTTGTATTATTTTTTTACAGTATCTAACATGTAAAAAGATTAGGAAAATTTAATTGAAGAAAATAGAAAATCTGAAACTAGTTTAAAGGACAAAGCAAGACTGAATGCAGCATGTCAAAAATTGTTCAGAAGAAAAAACCACTGAAAAACTCAAATTTATACAGTATTGCATTACAACTAATAAAGTGTCAAATGTTTAATGTAAAAACAGAATTTAATCAATGGAAATATATATTGCTGATTACTAGGTAATTTGAAATTTATTCTATTTTTCAGATCTTAGATGTCAACCATATAAACTTTGAAAACATTAATCACTCAGAAGTAAGCATACTTATTCTTTGACAAATATTATTTGTCCACTGTTGCAATTCATAGTGAGTAGATATTGTAATGCCAGACATTCTTTTCTTCATCCATGTTCTATTCAGTCTCGGAATGGAAGTAAATAAAGATTTTATTAACACTTTCTATTCCTCCCATCTCAGAACCTCTTTCCAAAGTTGACTAACCACTAAACCAGTTCTATTGAACAGCCACCACAGAAAGCAGTATAATTTAAAAAGGCAATGAAAGTCAAGGATATATACAGTCAAACCTGCCATAAAGGTCACCTTTTTATAACAAAACTTATCTTGTCAGGTCAGGTCAGCCTCTTCTGGTCCCACTGTAGTAATATATTTTACCTATTTATTTTTAACCTGATTTCAAAGGGTTACCTCTCTTAAAAAAATTTTCTAATGTGACCTTTATATACAGGTTTGGCAATATATGACTATCTACATTTAGTGTAATGATGCAACATTTTGGAGAGGAAGCCAGACATAGTGATTCTACATGTCATCATCAGCATTTACATTCAGTCTGTGGTTAAAGTTTTTTTTAGACATTAATAACTTTGTCAAACCTTCATGGAATGTTTTGAAACTAGAAAATAATCTTCAAGATTAAGAATAGCATCTGAAAGACAAATTTTTGAAAAAAAATTGTATTTTACTGGTAAATGGACTCAGTTTTTGGCAATCAACAATACATTTTCACAAAAAGGCAATCAACAATACATTTTCACACTGACAGCACCAATTGCAGGCTAGACACAGGGTTCTGTGGAACCCTTTACAATTCTTTTAACATTTCAACTTTTATTTGCAGTTTGAATATACACTGAGACAAAAATAGTATTAGCAAATAATGAACATTTAGTAAGATGTTTTTAATAAATGATATTATAATGCCAGACATCCTTTTCTTCATCCATGTTCTATTCAGTCTTGGAATGGAAGTAAATAAAGATCTTATTAACACTTTCTATTCCTCCCTTCTCAGAACCTCTTTTGATTTGTTGATGTTGTAGGCTGTTGGTGTACTGAAGTCTAATACCTCCATAGATATGATTGTTAGTGATTTTCCTTATGGTGAGTTCTGTCATTAAAGTTTGAGACTTATTATATATTTGTTTAGTTTGTCATTTTTCATTAAGACATTTTAAGAATGTTAGAAACTGTTGCCCATTGTTTACAATATGTAAAAAAAAGACATGGATTATGCAAGATATAGGTGCTTAAAATTTCTTTTGCTGTGCTTTTGTTTTCTAGAGATTAATTATGCTGCAAGGATTGTATTCTATATAAAAAATGTGGAAGATTGTCTTATCCAAATTTGAATTATATAAGTACATAATTATAGACTTCAGATAATAGACACAAATTAAGGTAAAATCCCTTACAAGCTATTTTTAAGCTGTTAATTTTATAAGTGGGTCACGCATGTAGTTCTATAATTCAAATATGTCATTAATCATAGCTCTGAATTTAAATATCTTCATCCCAAAAAGTTAAGTTCTACAGAATTACTATGTTGAATAACAAAACTTTATGAAAATTTCCAATCTTGTGAATAAATTTTCTTTAAAAGCAGTTTTTATATTAAGGCTTTGTTTATTTGGGATGGTTCAAATATATCATCAGATCCAACAACATATTATACTCATGAAAATATTAGTTCATTGTGAAACTGTCCTGACATATCTTTATATTTGCAGGTTATGACAGAACATATGATAAGACAAAATCATTAGCATCGAGTCATCAACAGTCATCAAGGAGATAGCTGTGTTGGATACATTTTACTGTGTTGGATATTTAGCATTTTATTGTGTGGGTGAAGATATCTAGAACATAAGTAATGTAGACATAAAGGTTGCGAAAATAGGAAGTACTGTAGTGTTACAAAAAGTGAGCTTCTTTCAAAAATTTGTATATTATATATGCTTATGAAATCAGACACTGAAAACCTTTGAGCTGACAAGAGGGACAGTTTCTAGACAGTTGGTAAATGTATTTGATGATGTCCTATCTACATCCCACATTTTTGTCATTATTAAAGAATTCGTATTATGTATATGATTTTAAGGTCAATTAGCCTTAAGTTCCAGTTTGAGTTATTGGCAGATGTCACAAGTTTGTCCACTTGTTGTTTAACATTTTTGAAAATTCTCTTTTTTGAAATCATTGAGTTGATGGTGACTATATATGTACTTGGCCTGAAAAAAAATTCAAAAGTAAATTAAGAACTTGTGCTTGGTTCATATTCTTACTGATAAACCAACATACATTAAAATGGTCTCCACAGATGAAAATACAACATAGGATAAAAAATAAATATTAATAATAAATAACTGAAAATGTACTGATTTTCAAGCAATTTATTCCTATACCACTGTTTAAAGTATTGCAAATTCTTTAAATATCTTCCCAGAAATCTATAATTTTGATCAAACTTCAATTACAGAAGTACATCCAAACTCTTCAGAGTGAAAATTTCATATCTTCTCTCAATTATAAAATGGTTTAGTAGAGCTGTAAATCTGTCATCTGATGCTGATAAAGGGACAGATAATATTACTTAACAAACAGATGTTTAAAACAAAACACTGAGTTTGTAATAACAGTAGAGATGATAATACACAATGTGTCCAGTTTCTGATATACTAGTATTACCATTCCAGGACAGGAACAATGAAATTAATTGGAATTTTGATCATTTTAACATTTTTATAACTAATCATGGACAGTAAATATTAAAAAGGATGAAGGAAAGTTTGTGATGTTCTACACATTAAAAAAAAAATGATTTGTTTTTATTTGTCTTCCTATAATTTTTAATTTGTATTACATGTTTTATACATTTGTAATTAACTAAATATTCACATTTGTATTTACTATTAATTCATTCATGCAACAATTACCAGCAATTATCAAGAAAACTAAACATGTGGTATACATCAACTAACAAACTTATAATTGGAGTGACAAATTTATTTGAACATTTTGCGTTTTTTAAGTGGTGTTGGTGATAAGCTGATTTTCCATCCAACATCATTTTGATGCGAATTCTTGGGCTCAGTTCTAGGACTGCCCTTTTGAAAAAAATGGCATTTTTTCAATTTCTCTATCTACATAATGGACGTTGTTGCACAAAAACAAATTCTCATTATTAAACATAGATTTTTAATGAATCAAGAATAACTTTCCGAGCATAATTATCTTAAATATTAAACAGACAGATGAAAAAATTAGCTTTGTAAGAGTAGCTCAGAAATTTTAAGGAGACACTAATTTCTTGTCACAACATTTTTTTTTAAAGATACTTTACAGTAAGGTAAGAAAATCCTGGTGCTCTGAGACTTATTTCGTTCTTTGCTACAATTTTAAGAATTATATTTCTTTTTATATTTAAATATTAGTCATTACAGTTCACACACAAAAAATCATAATCATCAATCATCATAAAAACAGTAATAAAGTTTAACTAAAATATTTTCATTCCTTCGTTATTTATTAGTAAATTAGTGTAATAACTAATCAAAGTACCAATTTGACATCATTGTTCATCCCTGATCATGAAAATATATTTAAAGTAGCACAAAGTAGCCAGTACACGATGAATATGTGAATGTTGCATTTATGTACTAAATTATATTGCAATTTTATATACAGTGTGTTGTCTTCAGTTACAGTCCTCATACAGATGAATATGATTCATATTATATCCTGCATTGTCAGTTAGCTACAACATTTGAGATGCTTTTGTAATAGTTGGATAAATTTATCCTTTTGTAGAACAAATAATTATGCTTAAGAAAGGTTCTTTCTGAATCTAAACAATTGCAAAGAATATAGGCCAATAAAAAATTATTTTGTTAACTGGTAATTGTAACTACATGAAACATGGTATATTTGTATGAGGACAAAGGCATTTTATCATTAGATTATACATTTATACTTTTTTGTATGTGTATACAGTTGGTAATTATATTTACATTATTTTATTTTATATCAATTTATTTACACAAATATATAGTTAAACAGATTTATTCATTTTTTATGGCCATTATAAATAAGTGAACTGATAAACTCTGTCAGAAATATCTGGATTGAAGAAATGTGATTATATCACACGTTTTACCTCATCTTCAGCAAAACACCAGTATCATTGGTCCATCACTTGATATGGGTCAGTTGTCCATCCATCTGCTATTATTCTAATCTTACAAAAGTCGTTCTTAAATAATAAGACTAGTTCTAATCAAAATATGCTTAAAAACCACCCTGAAAGTGTCTGTCATAAATGTTATATTCAATAAACTTTCTTATCAACCTTCTGGTATGAGTAATTGATGAACATATTTATTAATTATTAAGCTTTTTACAGTGCAAAAAACACACAAATTTCCCCAAAAAATAAAGACGCATGAGATATATCAAAAGATATAATCTATTAACAAGGATCCTGACATGGGACAGGCACTGGAACATTTGGTAGGGATCATAAATCTAGTTGTGGAGATCTTGACCGTCCTCATTAAAGATAAAATGTACAATAAAAATCAGTTGGTCAGATAAAAAAACACTTGTACATCATTGTTGTGTTTATCCTATAGATTTAATATCTCATTTGACATAGTTTTGATGGTTTCCAAAATAAAAGTGGTTATTGGAACTGGAACTGGAAATAACATTTATTTTTAGATTTAAATTCAGTTTACTGTATTGACTTGACTAAGTTGAAAAAGAGAGACTTAGGTGCGCTGTTACCAGCAGCATTGACAATGATTTAGTTCGTTATTAGGTCAGTTTTAATGGAACCACTGGTGGTATGTCACTAATAAATGTATTTGGTATGCAGTTGTATTAGCTTTGGCACATCTCCTTTCCATGGAGATGTTTAGGCCTGGCCACCTCAGTCATGGTGTATTGACTTTTGCTTTGTTTGAATGTTAAAATTTGTGGTTAGATGAATCACTAATGGTAAGTGACAAGTCAATGATATTTGGTTTGCAGTTGTACATATATTAGAATTTGCACATCTCATTTCCATTGAGATTATATGACCCTGTCTCCTCAATCATGGTTCAATGACTTTGAACTTTTGCATGGTTTACATGTTAATGTTAAGGGGAACCACTTATGAAAAGGTGATGATATTTGGTATGCAGTCATATCAGTATTAACAAATCTCATTGCTAGGAAAACTGGCCCTGCACCTTTAGTTATAGTTGATTGACTTTGAATGTTTTGCATAGTGAACATGTTAAAATATTGCCTCTTTAATTTCAACATTTGCATTTTACTATCAAAATTACATAGAGGTGAGACATATGTCAGCATTTTTTGAATTTCCTGAAGCTTGTCTTTCAGCTTCTGGGATAAACTTTCATACCAACAAGCACATGCATATTTTTAAAATATGACATTGGATACATGCAGTATATCTGTATGAAAATTTAAGTTTCTGATACTGGTATCTTTGATGAGTTAATTTATTAGTCTTCTTTATACATGTAATATTTTGAACAACCTGTTCACCAAATAAAGAATAATTGACTAATATGATACCTAAATATTTCAAATTTGATATAGTCGCTCTTATTAATCTCTGTGACAAATTGTCTATACTGAACGATTAAGAGATTGACAAATTGTATAGACACTTGTCTATTGTTGAATTGAAGACATTTGAGTTTGACCTTTAACAATAAATCTAAGAATCCAAACAGGAAGATTTAAAGGAAACGTTAAATTTTCTAAGCTTCATGAATAATTGTACTACCGAAAAAGCTGGGTGTTACATACGTGACATGCAACTTTCTGTTAAATTCATACTTCTATAATAGCTATCTTTATTACATTTTTATACGACAAAAAAAAAAAAACGAGTAAAAAAATAAGGCAGGATGAGCAACTTGGCAAAAAAAAAAGTCAGGATGACAATTTATGTAAAAAAAGTCAAGATAAACTAATAAAAAAAAGGCAGGACCGAATAGAGTGAAAAATAAGATTACAACTTAAAAAAAATGCAGGACAAAATAAAATTTTTCATCCAAGCCCCCCCCCCCCCCCCCCCCCCCCCCCCCCCCACAAGTTTCTTGTTTCAGGACAATTATAATTGTATATATTTTTGTAAATGTTCTTTACGATCTGATGAAGTAATGCAACAGTACTTAACAGTAATTAAAATATCGAAATTTGACCAAGAAGAGACGACAAGTAGAGGTGCATCGACAGGGTAAGCGTCTCCTGCTATGGATGCATCACCCGACATGCATATATCTTCTTCAGTTTGTCAAATGCTCTAAGCAAAAAGTTGTCAGTCAACCTAAGGGAGCTACCATCTGATTTTTATGAGGGCTAGGATGAAATTTGAAAAAAGGCAGGACAGGAGTTTTGAGTAAAAAAAAAAAAGCAGGATGACCCCCCCCCCAAAAAAAAAAATTGGTAATTATCATAGATGAATCTGCTCTGTTAATTTGTTTGGTACTTTCAAATGCTCAGTTTTTGTGCATATGTCAATAAAAAAAAATCCAGATTTTTATAAAATGCCTGAATCGTAGCATTTTAGAAAATCCCTAAATTTAGAAAATGCCTGTAACATATATATATATATATATAATTATATTGAGAAACCTTGTGAGGTATTAAAAGTAGTACTTCGTTTTACTGTGAAAAATAGAACAAAATAGAAGATTCTTTAACTTTACTTTACGAATGTCACACCATATGGTAACCGTATATTTCATCAGTTGATACATTTTTGGAAGGTTTTCATCTGTAGAAAAAAAATCAATTCTTATCAACAATACGCTAGACTGATTCGACTTTTATAATGGAGGCTATGCACGAACTATGTCATAAATTCACCATTACGCGTGTTTTTCCTATGTCGCAAAACTTCTGAGTGTGGTGTTGGCATTAACTTATATAACTTGAAATACCAAAAGGCAAAACAAAAACAAAAAAAATAACATCATTTAACGTTAATAATTCTCTACTTGTAGTATGTTGAAAGTAATGAAAGTCTTTATATTTGATTTATTGATAAATCTCATACATGAAAGGAGAAATGATCAACTTGCTGATTGTTAATAATTCAATTTTTTACTTTCAACACTAAGCAAAGATCCTCTAAAGGAAATGTACAATTTCCAAGCAAAAAAATTTCTTCGGACTGGCCTTAATATTTTTTTATACTAGTGTAGTAGATAAAAGTAAAATAAATGAGCCTACTTTGTACAAAACTAAAACCGTAAGCTTACTAGGTAACAGTCAGCTGGAAAATAAATATTCCTCAACCGGACACAATTCAAATCCTGACTCATAGCCGACTAGTCTTTCCTCTGTTTCCGGTATGCCACTAGAGAAACCTGGCAGAGAGGCAGAACAGTCATCGATTTAACCGGGCGAGGAGCTGACAAACGATGCCCTTACTCGAGGAAGACAATTTACGCGGTATTATAAGTTAAATGCAGTCATAGCAGTAACATTTAAAAGTACTATAAAATTGAGAATGGAAATGGGGAATGTGTCAAAGAGACAACAACCCGACCACAGAACAGACAACAGCAGAAGGCCACCAACAGGTCTTCAATGCAGCGAGAAATTCCCGCACCCGGAGGCGTCCTTCAGCTATGTATACTTGAACCATGGAAGCTTATATTAAGTCTATAGGAGAGTTTTGAATGTTTTGTATTAATCTACACACTTCTTTATTTTCTCTGGACACTTAAATCGGATATCCCATTCCATGCCGTCATGTCGTCATTTCGTCATCTTAGTTCCGTTACGAGATTCAAAACCAATAAAGGCATTACAGAAGAATATCTTTGGGGAATGCAATAACAAGGTTTATCGTAATAATAACCATCGGCATAATGCATTCGTATTTCAAAATACTTATTATCACAGGATGTTTTTATCATTGAACGTGACCGAGTACTTACTACCTTGACCGTTTTAAGATTTAAAAAAAAATCTTTTACCCCTTATATTGCTTATACTTAGATACACATAAATTTCGTATCAAAATGAACCAATTTCGCAATAATCGAATCTTGTGACTACAGATAAGATTTGGATATAAATACTAGTATGCTGCAACTGATTAAATGAAATAGAAAAGTTAAAGAAGCAGTACGTTTAATAAAGCAAGACAAATATGATGAATCTGTTGATCATGCTGGGTTTGGTAGCACTGCTTCCAATGGTAGTGTCAAACTGTTGTTTACCAGCTCAATGGGAAGGCTCTGAGGGTTTTCATGTTGGAACAGTTATGAATGGGACAGTTAGAGTATCACAGGTACAATATGAAAATCATTGATATTACCTGATTAAGACATATTTATCGAAAGTTTTACTGAACATTTTGTTCTTCTATCAAAGTAAATGACTTTATTGATATTTACGAAATATCTAATCTGCACTATATGCAGACTTTATTCGATTAATTATTGCTTGATTACTAGTAATGTAAACGTGAAAAGATGAAAACAACAATTTATAACTTTCATGCGTCCGATGCGTTTTTCCGGATTTATCTTCATCATGAATGCTCAAAACCGAACATTTGAACGTTAAGGATGTTTAAGAACTGCTACATGACCAAAATGGACATAAGAATAATGGCAAATCCTACTGAGGCCAATTTTCCGTAAGAGAGTTGAAACCTTCGTTTCTAAATAATTTCTAAATCTATGTAAATGGACAATTTAAGAAAGGTTTGTTATAAATCATGTCAGTACCGAATTATTAATGGTTGAAAAAAATATACTAGTATGAGATTAATACTATCTGGTGAGCTACCGGAGGTTATGTCGTTGTATAACCAGTGAATTTTGCATATTTGTGATACTAAGTCTTGTCGTCATACTTTTCGGTAATTACATATTTAAATTTTCGAAAATTCCTATGCTCTTTGTTATGCTTTAAGAAAAATACAGAAAAAAACGAAAACCGTTGTTGAGGGTTTTCAGAGCTATACTATGTAGAGCCAAATTGATCATTCTACAATTGGTACCATTTATGATCACTTCGGGATCATGGTAAATCTTGCATACAAAACGAGCATCATTTTGAAAATTTATATTTTGGTAGGGTTTCATGAATGTATCTGCTGATACAACTGGTGAGAAGATTGCTCTGAATATGACAGTAACCACTGGTATTGTAGGAGCTAGTAAACATACATCAGAGATGTTTGTGTTACAAGACTACGGCCATGTAAGTTATATATTCCAGCATATGTTTTTGATCGTCAAGTTCTATATTTATATACAATACACATGACGTTGAATAGCTACAAAACTTTCGTTTCAGCACTGTTCGATTCTGTATTACATTTAAGCCTAAACTAAAACACATTGTTATTAGCTTTTAAATTCAACATAATATCTATTTATGATAATACATATAAATCAAACAAATTCAAGTGTTAACGTATGATGCAAAAAGGGACATTCATTTTGATCAGATTTCTATTTTCTTCCTATCATTCAAAAGTTGATTCTCGAAACTTTTTTCGATACGACAAACCATAGATAACATTTCACAAAAACAAGACTAAGCTAAAGCAAAAGCATATGTTTACCACGCATTCACCACAAATACTATCTAAAGGTTTTAAACAATCTGTGCTATTTTAATGAACAAATGATATTTTGTTATAAATAATTGCAAAAAAAATGAATGCGGATATATTAGTCCGCACATTTTACATAAAGCATATAATAGGAAAGCAAAGGAGATGGTATATCCATCCATGACACAAAATCAGTTCATCTTAAGTTTAATAGTTCTAATGAATGGAAAATTATAAAACTTGTCATTTATTTAACAATTCTTTGACTTTTTCCAGAAGATGCAGTATGTTGTCGAGAAAGGGATGTGCACAAAATCAGCAATGCAAGGTCCATTTACATTCAACTGTGTTCCAAGTACGTATTTAAATAGGATATACTGATTACATACAGAATCGAAAATCCTGACATGCATTTACATCTATTCAGTTTATATGTAGATTTAATTTGGTGACTGCTAATCACTCTTCGTTTTAAGTAATGCGTAGTATATGTTTACCAAGTACATTTACCAAGTACACAACATATCTACGGTTGATTTTGATAAAATATTAAACAATTGTCTGAGTTGAGAATTAAAACTAAAGATATCAGTATCATTTTAGATAATGCAACTGTTGTTATGAAGACGACGGTTGGGTCAGACCATACACCAGGAACAATCTTTAAGATACCGTTTGGCAGTATTGGAGACGGTTATTTAACTATTACAGATGATGACTGTATCCCTGTTCTATACCAGGTCACTGCTAATATCAATGGAAGTAAGTTTATTCGTTAAAACTTGAACATGTCCTTAACGTACGTAAATTTCCTCACTTCATCTCAAAATAAGCAATGAGCTTAAGGATCTCCGATCAATTGTGATAGGTACATCATATACATGTAACAGACTTTATATATAGAAAAAATATAAGATGTAAATTCCAAATGCTAATCATTTATATGAAAATAATTTCATCAAATCTCCAATTTCAAATCCAAAGATTTTCTTGGGGTATTGGAGTGGGGAATTTAAACAGTTACATGTATATTCAAAAGTTATAAAACTGATGTTAAAAATATTATGCTTTATCATATATGATACGCATTTTCTTGCTTAATTCTTTAAATGGGATTCGATACAGTTTCAAGGGAGTTAACTTTTGGCGCTACGTTAAGCGTTCAAATTCACACAAAAATGTGCAATAAGTAAATGATGCAAAACTGGAAAACTGGAAATTAGTTTGCTGTGATCATTGAAAGTTTGCAATTCAAAAAGGTGAATTTTGGGTAAATATACATGGAACAAAAGTCTTATGAAAACAACCAACAAAACACATATTATCAAAACCGTGACCTTATTAATGCTGTTCCTCATCTTGAAGCTTTTGTGAGGTCTTCAACAATGAAGTCAATAAAATATTGTTAAATAATCCAAATATGCTGAAAAGAAAAAAATGGTATAAATAATAAATTATTCTATGAAAGTATTTATTAAAAATACTTAACATTACAGTGCAAACAATGGAATCGGTTGGAATATACGATGTCAAACAAGGAATAAAAGATATGTCAGTGTTTGCTGTTCCAAAAATATGTCGTACACCAGGAACTGTCATTAATGTAAGTACATGACGCCTTTGAGAGCTCGTAATTCTTTTCTGTCTCAAAATTTACAATTGTTTAATTTCAGTATAAAATTTCATTTATTTTCAAAACTTCTTCTTAGGAAACCCATTCTCAATTAACGTTTGAAAAGAAATTCTCAGAAAACAACAATCTTGAATGGATTTTTTTTAACTATTACTTGTCTGTACTGCTACTGGTTGACTATTCGTCAGAATACCACTTACACAGTAGCTATAGTACTTAGGTATTGGCATTATTCAAATAATACATTTGTCTGTAACTAGTTCATTAATTTTGTATATAATGGTTGTACCTCCCTGGCAAATAATCAACTACTCTTCGTATACATGTACGTTATGATATTATTGTGTAATAGACCAGCTGAATTGGCTATGCTATTACTATGTAAAGACCAGCTGAATTCACAAACTATTGCAAACCAAGTTATAAAGTTGTAAGTAATTGCATGAAAAGAAATTTCTCTCAAAGATTTCAACAATTTGTAAGTGTATTCTACCATCGTATTTGGTAGTCTTACATAAATTTAATAAAGCAAATAGCATCCAATGGAAGATGTAAACTTACTCTTTGAATTAGTTTGTTCTTTAACTAATAGCTTTCTGGAACAAGACTGTAAGAAAAGACAGAGTGAATATAATAAATATAATAAATTTAATAATAACAACGAGCAGTTCACATTTACAGGTCTGTAAAAAAGTTCATGGATACCATTATACGATCTAAAAAGATGACAAACCGAATTCAAATGTGTGTTTAATAGAGTAAATTATAACCTTGTGATTATATTAACATGTATAAAACCTATATCTTTTTCCACTTCATTGTGAACAGTTGTGAAGTCATCAATAGAGACATACATGTAATTTTTTTGTATTTAGATAGAAATGTTGTTTTAAATAGATTTGTGTCTGATTTCAGGTTAATAGACCACAGATTAAAGTTGGATTTTGAAAGGACTATCTATGACGTCAGTATTGATAATAAAGCGACACTTTTGTTTTACATAATTATCTTTTGTTTTTTTACGAATAAAACCCTTAATGTGTGACTCAAGATTTCTTGCAAGGGATCAATTCAATTATAAATTGTATCACAGGGTCAGATATTGAAACCAAAATGCTGTTGTGGAACTCGTGTAAATATGAAAGCAAGCTGTTTCATATGAGGCGCGGATTGAGTCAAAATTGTCGTATTTAAGGAACTCCATAAATAACTATGGACCTCTTGAAATATATCAAGACCTATATTTTAGGACCTACATAATTCGATTTCAGGTTATAAACAAGTAGTTGTGGACATCTTGAAACATTCCAGGTCCTCAATAATTTGATTTTAGGATCTTCATAATTCCATTTAAGGATATCCTTAAATTTCTATTGAGCTTTACAATTATTTCAAGACATCCAGAATTTGATTTTAGGATATCCTTAGATATTGATTAATCAGTAGCTGGTTGACCGCCAAATTTGTATTCTTGTCGTCTAATCAGAAGTGGTGTTGCAATTACCTAACTATTGATATTGGAAGTCCCCTGTTGAAACCATATATATATATATTTTAATTTGTGGTTAAAGATAAAAAAAAATCTTCCTCTCAACTTTTCGTCTCTTCTTTACATGATTTTCCCTTGTCTATGAGTCATTCAAAAACAAATATTTTAGAAAACTGAAATGTGAGAAGAGAATAACGTTCACTAAATTGATGATTACAGTTACTAGTATAACAAAACTAGTCACTCCCACGGAAGAGGGTCCCCATCTATCTGTCATATTAGGACTGTGGCACTCTGTATATCCGTATTATGAGCACAACACATTAAAAATAAGGAAATTGATATATAAGATACTAACGGAACTATAAATGTTAGGTCTATAAAAAGGAGGACAGAAGAAACCAAATGCGAAATCCAAACTGAAAATCAAAGAGTGCACAATTAAATGTCTTGTGTGCTTTATTAACCATTATTGATTATATTTTGAAATTCTTGAGAATAAAGGTGAAATCAAAGGTTTTATTACAAGTATCACATAAACTTTACATTATCAATGATCCATGACAATGACATCAAGGCCAGATAAACCCTACTAGACAGACATGTTCACCTTATGGTCATTCCATACATCCACTATAGTGGACTTTTTGCTTATTGTATCCAATAAAGAGACCAAACCATAAAAACGTAACATTTACCAATGAACCATGAAAATAAGACCAAGCTAAGATGAACCTGCCTACCTTACAATCATTCCGTGCAACAAATATAGTTGACTTATTGCTTATAGTATCTGAGAAACAGACTAAACCAAGAAAACTTAACATTGACCAATTGACCATGAAAATGAGGTCAAGTTCAGGTGAACCTGCCAGGCAGCCATGTTCACTTTACAATTATTCGGTGCAACATGCATAGTTGACTTATTGTTTATAGCATTTGAGAAACAGACTTATACAGGAAAACTGACCATTGACAAATGAACCTTGAATATTTGGTCAAGGTCAGATGAGCCTTGCCAAAGAGACATGTACACCTTACAATCATTCCATACACCATAATATATTCGACTTATTTCTTATAATATATGTGAAGAGGACCAAACCATACAAACTTAACTAACATTGACAAACGAACCATGAAAATGAAGTTAAGGACATATGAATCTTGAAAGACAGACACGTACACCTTACAATAATTTAATATACCAAATGTGGGTCACCTATTGCTTATAGTATTTAAAAAAAAACAGAATAAAACAGAAAAACGTAACGTTAGCTTATCAACCATGACAATAAGGTCAAGGTCAGATGAACCTTGCCAGACAGACACATACACCTTACTATCACTCCATACACCAAATATAGATTACCTATTGCTTACAGTATCTGAGAAACAGACTTAACCATGACAACTTATTATTGACAAATGAACCATGAAAATAAATCAAGGTCAGATGAACGTGCCAGCTAGATGTAAACTTTACAATCATTCCGTATAACAAATATAGATCTGTACTTAGTGTCTTTTTGTTGTCGGGATGTACTAGCTATATATATAGTACCCGTCAACGTCCACTTTGTGTTTTTGTTAGATGTATTTCTATTTGTATCTTTTTGATGAGGTAAGCCATTTTCAACTGATTTATATAGTTTGTTCTTATGTTGTACTGTTACACCACTGTCCAAGGTTAGGAGGAGGGTTGGCGCCTTCGAAATAGTTTAACCCCGAAACATTCTGTATGTGCCTGTAATTCAGTGGTTGTCGTTTGTTGCTGTGTTACATATTTGTTTTTCGTTCATTATTTTGTACATAAATTAGGCCGTTAGTTTTTTCGTTTAAATTGTTTAACATTTGTGATTTCGGGGCCTTTTATAGCCGACTATGCGGTATGGGCTTTGCTCATTAAAGAAGGCCGTACGGTGACCTATAGTTGTTAACTTCTGTGTCATTTGGTCTATTGTGGAGAGTTGTCTCATTGGCAATCATACCACATCTTCTTTTTATATTGACCTATTGTTTGTCCTATCTGTGAAACAGACTTAACCGGGAAATCTTAACATTGACCAATTAACCATGAAAATGAAGTCAATGACATATGATTATTGCCAGACACACATGTACACCTTACAAAAATTCTATACACCAAATATAGGCTACATATTGCTTATAGTATTTTAAAAAAACCAGGTCAAATTATAAAAACTTAACATTGGCCAATCAACCATGAAAATGCAGTCAATGGCATATATTTCTTGCCAGACAATCATGTACACTTACAATCATTCTATACACCGAATATATGTCACCTATTGCTTATAATCACACGACTTTAACATCGATCACTGATCAATGAAATGAGGTCGAGATCAGGTAAACCATGTCTGACGGACATGTAGACCTTGCAATGATTCTATATACCAAACATAGTTGACCTACTGCTTATATTATTTCAAAAACAAACCAAAACTCAAAAACTAAACATTAACAAATGAGCCATGAAAATGAGGTAAAGATCAGATGAAACCTGCAAGATTGACATGTACACCTCACGATTGTTTCATACGCCAAATATGGTTGACCTACTGCTTATAGTATTTGAGAAACGGACCTTATCACATAACTTAAACCTTGATTACTGATCAATTAAACGAGGTTGAGGTCAGGTGAACCATGTCAAAACAACACGTAAACCTTGCAACCCGTATACCTAATATAGTTATCGCATGACATAAACAATATACATTTTTTAAGCAGTCGCTGAACCATGGTAATGAATTCAAGGAAAATGGACATAATACAGTCGGAACCTTCGTAACATAAAGCATATGTATACTAGAAATATGTTTACGCCGCCGCCGGATAGTAATCCCTATGTCTTAGCATCCTACGACTTTGATTGGTAAAGTTGAAAACGTACAAACAAAAGATGTCATGATCGTTACGTGGGGCACTGGGCTGATTTCTTAGAGAGACTGTATCTCGAAAAAGGTTAGGAAAAGCTAAAACATCAAAGGGAGGACCATTGATTAGTTTATTACTACAAGATAAAAACCATATTAATCCGCAATATTTATTAAACTTACTTCCAGAATCCCATTTAACTGTGCATAATTTATCGCTCGAAAGTTCTTGCCATTGAACAAAACAGTCACTAAAACGATGCACAGCGAGGGGACCGGGAAAGATTCAAGATTCAAGATTCAAGAACTTAATATTTTTCATCCAAATGGCATCTTCTGAAAGGATTTGGAGGTTTTGTTAGTAGATGAGTGTGTTCATTAGTTATATGTATATATTTTTACAAGACCTTTTGACATCTTTGAATGTTAAGGTGCGCAGTCAAGTTTACATGGCTTTGAGTTTTTTATGAAGTGCAAGATCACTAATCAAATTTACCCATTTATAAGCTACCTGCATGCCTGAGCCCATTTAACTCACACAGAACTCATATTGTAATAATTCATTTTGAAAATAAATTTTAGCACTGAAAAAAGGCAATTTGGTGAGTCGAACCAAAGCTCGTTATTTTGTATATTAAACTTCTCAAATCTGAAGTAAAACATATAAGTTTGCTGTTTATAATGAATAATTCACAACTTAGTTAATTGTTGCTTTTACTGTAAGAGTTATAATCTATCGCACAGTTTCAACTAATTATTACCGGAAAAGAGGATAAACGAAATAATTATATAAGAATTAAAGATACATGTATGTATTTAAATTATTTAACTTATCGGAGGTCATGTAAACATTCATTTTAACAGGTGAGTTAATAATACATAATGTGTCATAAAATATAAAAGAGGTTTCTTAAGGAGTTTTTTTTTAAATTACATAATTAAGCAAACGTGTTCCCCAAATAAATTCAAGATGGTTTTATAAACTTAGATAGAAATACAATAAATTAACTACTAAACTGAACCGGTAAGGGACACATTGTTCTAAATCATAATTCAGTTAAGACTAGTAAACCGTAAGAAACCTTGAATTTAAACAGTTGAACAAAAGTACGTTTAAAAGTATCACACATAGTTGGTGCAACGAAGACAACACTAGTGTGATAACTGAAATTTAAGAAGTCTGGAAACAAAACACAGTCTACACTTCCTCGTGATTAACGCTCCATAGAAATAACTTACCGCCAGGTAAGACACTTTCTTCCTTTTTAGTGATATGTTTGGTTTTAATTCGCAAAATACTGTTTTTGTTTTTCATGTTAAGTTACTGAAAACTATTAGATTGTTAATTATTATACACTTCCTCCATTTAAAATTTGAAAGACAACTAATTGACCACACGGGTCAGTGTGCGGTTTTGTCATCACTGTATCAGTCTGATTGTGGTCAAACGTCGTGCAATCATTGCATTGTGTCGGGCAAATTGATCGTCAATGTGATAACAAAATTTGGGGAACAATTAAAATTAATATATTGTAATTCTAAAGGACTAACCTCTAATATTTATACCATTTAAATATGATAACTAGAAAGACAAAAAAAATCATACATAGATGCGTGTTAATAGTTTTATTCTATAAATTGATTGTACTGGTGACCCCTTGTTTTATTTACCTTTTTACTGCCATTTGTCAAATATTATTGTTTCGTAAATATCATAGTTCCGCTATTAAAGTTAAGTATTCAAAATATGTTGTTTTTGACATGTCAATGTATATGTCAGAAGTGGATCCAGGATTTTTTGAAAGGGGGATGTATTTCCTGAAAATAAATTTTATGCTAAAAAATCATATATTTTCATATCAAATTGGGGTTTACTCCCTTGAATACGCCACTCACTGTGTGTACGGGAATCAAACGTAACACATTGCATATGACTTTGAGTCTGGCTTACATAATTACAGGTTGAGGATAACTAATATATATCGTTTATAATAAATATATTATGTCCCAAATTTTCTTTAACTTGAATTACATTGATCCGCCCTTCTTGTTGAATTTGCGACATTTTCCTGTGTAATTTGAATTCTTTCAGATTAAAATTGTAGTTCATATGAAATTTTCGGAATAGAAAAATTAAATTAATTGAAAATCACGAATATAATATATATTATTAAAACTTTTTTTAATTATTTTGCCTTAAAACATATCTAAATGCATATAATGACAAAACTATTTAAAGAATTACAAAAATGTGTAAACCTTGTTTATAACTACTAATAGATTAAAAGTTTATCTCTAATTTTATATATGATTCTTTGAACACATAAACTTCTTTATCGAGGTGGTACATGTACATTTCTAACGTTTTTTCTATTGAACAGAATGCAAGTTTCGGTTTGCTTTTCAATGATGTCGGGTTTTACATTTATTGCATTGTTTCTATTTAGCCGAATACAAAGTTACTGTTTGCTTTTCAATGTGTGATAATATTTATGTTACTTATGTAAACCAATATAAGTTATTTATAAGACATGTATTACCAAAATAAGACTAAGTAGTCATAATTTATCCATAGAATGTTGACGTTTCTCTGCAATTTCCAGAATCAATAGACTCTGTAGTTTTTGTAAGGATGACACTGAGGATGAGATACATTTCATTTTAAAATGTCCCACTTATCAAGGTCTTAGATCTTATTTTATTAAACCAAGTTATTGGAGAAAATCTTCTTTATATGAATATATAAAATCAATGAGTTCGAATAATCTTATAGAGCTATATATTTTGGGTAAATTCATATTTCGTGCACAAAAATTAAGATCTGACATGTTATAATATGTTTCACACTACCTTCTGCTATTCTATGTATATTCTATGTAGTTTATGTGTTGTATATAGAAATAAGAAGATGTGGTATGAGTGCTAATAAGACAAATCTCCATCCAAGTCACAATGTGTAAAAGGTACATAATTATAGGTCAAAGTACGGCCTTTAACACGGAGCCTTGGCTCACACCGAACAACAAGATATAAAGGACCCAAAAAGACTAGTGTAAAACAATTCAAACAGTAAAAAACAAACGGTCTAATCTATGTACAAAACGAGAAACGAGAAACACTTATGAACCACATCAAAAAACGACAACCACTGAATAACAGGCTCCTGACAGGTGCATACAAATACAGCAGGTTTTAACGTTTTAACAGGCACCAACCTTTACCCTAACATGAAAAATTAGTGTAACATTACAACATAAAAAGACACACAGTAAAATATCAATTGAAATAGCTTAACTCGATCAAAAAGACATATAAACAAAAACAAGTAAACATACACAGAACGAATAAGTTTGTTCTATGACACAACATAAATACCTGTGATACTTTGATAACAAAAACATTTTGAAAAGGTCACATGCATAGACTGTGTCATTCCTTTCTCAGGAAACTGTCATCATTTTATGCCGCGTACTTTCAAGTTGTTAAGGATATTGATAAATCTAGCAACTTTTACAATTTCTGAAAACTGAGATATGTTAGAAGATGTAAACTGTTTGTTGTATAATAAAATTAAATGAAAAATTAGCGATTAATTTATAAAAAGAATTAATGTGATTTAGAGACATGGAATGGATTTCAGTATATGCATTTTTTTTAACAGTTACAGAATGTAGTTACGACTAAGCTTGGTAAGGCTTTGTACAGGTATATGTAATATAGTCCTGTGTTATTTCAAAAGCAATACAGCTAACCGGTAACAGTACAATACATATCTCATAGTGGACATCGCATAGTTCAATTTAGTAATTCGTCAATACAATTGATACAATTGTTAAAAACAATTTTGGATAATGATATAATTTAATACAATGTAATACAATCGTTCAACAGTTTCAATGTTCAAGTCATGTGCACGTAAACAATACTTGCTAATAAATGGTTTTAACTAAAATTAACGCAAAACAATATTTATTCAGTATTCGGGATTCAGTTTTCTATTTTAGGATAACTATATTTGTCAATGTCAAAACATATATATATATATATATATATAATGCAATTTTCTTTTTCCCCCATTTCATTCATGAATATAATTGTAACCAAATCATTGTAATCATTTTAATCATTTGTACAAAATTTAACTTGATTAGATTATTCTGCCTGTAATGGACGTCTTTAAAGTATTGAACTTGAACTGAGATAAAACTGCAAACCATGACTATCATACATGTGTGTGTACATATGACATCTAAAAAGAAAAATAACAAAAAAAAACAAACTCTGAAGAAAATTCAAAACGGAAAGTCCCTAATCAAATGGCTCAAACACATCAAACGAATGGAGAATAAGAGTCTTTAAAAAAATGACATTGCTTCATTTATAAATCTATCAATAACACGCCGTTTAACTCGACTGTAAATATATCTTATAAAACTTTCATAACCATACATTACTTCAGCCATAGTTAATTAATACATCCCATCTCTTATTTTACATCAGCAATTCAAATTGTTTTTAATTCGACTTTTTACATAACTAGCCTCCAGCATTTCTGCATTACATTTTTTTCAGAATACAATTGTCAGTTTTAAACAATTTACACCAATATTTCATAATTTTACAATACAGCTGTAAATAACATTTGATTTTTCCCAATTTAAAATACGCCATGTAATTTGAAGTACACGTTTTCACTTTCAAAATTCTCTTAAAATATGATGTAGAGTTTCAATATTGAAAATTATGAAATATCCCCACACTTCACTTCCATAAATCACTTTGCCTAAAACATTGGTGTTTTAAATTTGAATATGATAGGATTCATCTTAGTCAAAGAACTGTAATTAGTATTTGAGTGAAGGGACCATTTATTACAATTGAATGGCTATTGTGGTCACAAACTATAACGAATTCTGTGTGAATATACTATAGAGACGAAATGAGTACTTACAGTTTTATTTTTAATTTACAAAAAAATCTGGCAAATTGTAAGAGTTTGTATATTGAACAATCAAAAAAGGGGGATACAAATTCGGATAGCAAGAATAACCGTTTGATTTAAAAAATAATAATATTATTGAAAGATTTATTTATAATTGAAACAGTGTTGATGCGCTATTTCTTTAAAAGAAAATTCTGAATGGGACCAAAGATGGATTTTACTACATAACCCAAAATGGGTGCCAACACGTATATCATAAAGGCGTGTTTTCGGCAGAACTTTATAGCATGATAATTTACTGTCCAAAATACATAATATTCAAAATTATCGACACTTATAACATTTATATTTAAAGTTTAATCATGATTCAGACATGCTTTGAATTCATACAAGCCCCGACTGTCAGCTTTTAAAGAAAGAGAGGGAAACTCGAGTAACTGTCCTATAATGAAACGAACACTCATATAAAAGATGCATGAAGCAATACAAGATAAACACATCCCCCTTATTTAAATATAAAAAAAACCTTTACCACCCAACACACCACAAGGAAATTCGCATTAACACAATAATGACATCTAGAAGACATATCTGGCACAGAAACCATCGTTTAATGATAATTTCGATAATATGAGTTATTGTTGCTTGTAGATTTTACATGATGCTTTTATTGTCCTAATATCATGTTGCAATTAAATTCATGGAAGTTTCAAGTGACACAGGAGAACATTGTTATCCTATATTGAATTCATATTCTAAAGTGAAGTTTCTTCAAACTCAAATAAGAAAACAGATTCACGAGAAAGTGTGGGGGGGCTAAATACTGTCCAGTAAACATGTTTAATTATTTCAATGACAACATATTGTGGTGGATATGTTTTGCAATTAATAGACGACAATGCCGGATTTGTATAGGAATCAACCGTGCTTTTTCATTTATTCTTATGAAACAGAATTTTGAAAAAGAGTGAATATAAGTTCGTGTCTGTCTTTAAATTCAAGTTCCGCTTGATAGATAATGTCTTTTCACAGATTGATTCAAATTTAGTGAAAGCATTTTTTTCCATGGACTTGAAATAAATGAAACAACAGATACAAAAAAGCTTGCTTCCTATTAAGATACATGTAGAAGTTGACAAGGGTTAATTAAGATCCAAACTTTACGATAAAGAGACAATTTCAATCTTCTTCTGAAGTCAAGCCTGTAATTCAGTGATTGTCGTTGTTTGCTATGTGTCATATTTGTTTCTCCTTGACTTTCATTTGTGGATAGTTCTGACATTGGCAATTACACTTATCTTGT